TATCATTACAATCAGTTAGATGGGTCTATTTTTACCAAAGGCACAAGTCTTTTTCCTTCACAGAAAGAGTCGTGTTTTTGTTATTATGAGATGGAAAAATAAAATGGCCACATCATTATTCTAACTACTGTTTTGAATTTCTGGTAAAACTCCCTTTTGCTGCATAATAGAAGTACAGTGGTGCCTCGCTTAACGGCGATAATCCGTTCCAGGAAAATCACTGTTAAGCGAAAACGTCGTAAAGCAAAAATAAAAAGCCCATTGAAACGCATTGAAAATGGTTCAATACGTTCCAATGGGCTAAAAACTCACCGTCCAGCAAAGATCCTCCATACGGCGGCCATTTTCGGTGCCTGTATAGCGAGGAATCTGTCCCTAAACACAGCGGGGAGTCATTTTAATTACCCAGTGGCTATTTTGAAACCGCCGATCAGCTATTAAAAAAACATCGTTTTGCGAAAAATCGGTTCCCAAAGCAGGGAACCGATCATCGCAAAGCAAAAAACCCTATTTAGACCATCGTTTTGCGATCGCAAAAGCAATCGCAAAAACATCGCCGTGAAGCAGATTCGTCGTAATGCAGGGTAATCGTAAAGCGGGGCACGACTGTATGAAGATTCATAGAGCAGAATAGCTACACATTCCCCAGAGTCCACCGCCTTCTCATTAACTGGCACTTATTCAGAACAAGCTTTATTGTTTAAAACCACAATATCAACAGCCACGCAAAATTGCACTGACATCATATATCTATACATAAATACAAGTTGAACTAACTTCCCTTCTCACCACTACCAAGGTGAAATAAGTACACAATATGAAGGAAAGTACAGTACACTGTCTTTATAATATTATGAGCACTGGAGAGATATACAGTACAATATTCCTCTACATACCGAGCTGAACTTATAATATTATGAACACTGGAGAGATGTACAATATTCCTCTACATACCGAGCTGAATTGGAGTGGCTGGACAGCTCAATGGAATTATGTCAGTGAAGTAATTTATATATTATATATTATAAGCTATAAAAGTCTAGTCTTTTTTCTGTTTTAAGTGACAGCACTTAAATGTCAGTGTTTTTTATGATTACAGGTGCAACTGTACATGCTCATGTACAATTTTGTAAAAGTCTGATCTTTAATCTGCAGTACGTAGCTATAGCTGCACAGGTAAATGAGGAAATCTTAATTTTAAAAGCAGTGGACCAAATAATATGCAATATCCATGGAGACAGAAAATTCTCTTAACAGTAAAAAGTACAGTTCTGCAGAGTCAACGTATGATAGCACCGAATAACAACTTTCAGCAAAACCTTACTTCAATCCTTGAAAAGTATGTCTGTGAAAGTGTGTGTTAATAAGGGAACAGTTAAAAGCAGAATGGAAGATTTAAAAGACTGAACAATTAGCTCTTCTTTAGAACTGTTCAGATCTGTGCCAGGCCATTGCCAAACCAACACTTCTGACAGTTTTTAACTGAAGATTGCAGAGATATTCCATGGAAAAGTTAATCCAGGCGAGATCATTAAGTGAAAGTAATCAACAGGAAATAGCTTACCTTTTCTTCTCAGCAGCAATCTTAAGGAAAATGGTAAAATATTTTTTCTCTTTCCGGGAGTGCAATTGTAGAGTGCTGAAAACAGTAGAATGCAGGTACTGTAGTGTAAATGTATCAGCATTGCGGTGGCCAGGAATGCACAGAGAAAATTAAATTAGGTGGGGCTGTATTTCTCTGGGTGTAACAGAGCACCTGAGAACCAGAATGACCAACTTCTCAGCTGTCATTGTTGAGACTTACAGAATTGGTTGAGTTCACAGAATTGGTATAAAGTGGAAGAATAATTCTTCTGCTCCTGGAAAGTTGCAGATGGGTTCAAAGTGAGGAAATGTTTGCCTATTCTGTCTTCATTTTTTTTTTAAATGGAATTAGCAGGCACTCTTTCAGGGAAGAACTATAACTTTTTAAAGATATTAAAAGGGCTTTTAACCTACTTGCTAAGTACTCCAAAGTAAAAATGATGACAAAATTAGCTCTTTGTTTTGTATTATTTCACTTTAAAAAGAAAAAAAGAAAAGCAAACCTTAAAATGTTTAATAAAAGATCTGTCACATTCTTAGCCAACAAACTATGTTCAAATTTGCTTCAGAAAGAAAGGGCACTTTAATTAAACTCCACATTTACATTTTGCAAACTGAATAAAGAGTATTTTTTCCTTTGCTTCTATACATTTTCTAAAAGCTAACTAAGCTTTGCACTAGTGTATCTGTTGAGTAAAGAAGAAGACAGACTTTACAGTAATCAGAAGCAAAGGATGGTATAGCTTCTCCCCCATTAAATTCATTAAAGAATGAGTTTCCATGTTCTGTGAAGGAGGACTATTATCCAATTTTCCTGGACCTGTGACAAGCTGTACTTTAACCAAAACCCTTTCTAGACTACAATTAACAGCACACAACAGTATTATTCCTCATTACCCAACACGGATTTAAACCCAGTTGTTTTGAAACATTCACACCAGTACTGGAACAAGGGTGAGGGCAGGAGGTGACCTTTCCATCCTCTCCCTCCCCCACTGAGTTGGTGACAATCACACCAAAACAGGTTAAGGCATCATCCTTGAGTAGAGTTCACTTCTAAATATCACAGTATATCCAATGTGAAGGATCTTTTGATCCTCAGGAGAAGCTTTGAGGGGACTGCAAGGTGTGGAGAGGCAGAAACCTTCTTATCCAAGCTGATAAACTTTTGAATAATTTGCAAATATGGTTTTATCACATAGAGGCTAAAATCCTGTTGCTTAGCATAGTAACTTTATCACATAGAAGCTTACCATAGTAAGTTGCACTAGTGTATATCCATTAATAGGCATGGATTTGGTGAGTTAACTCCTCCATAAGTTCCACTGATTGAAATGGAGCTGTGACTTTCTATCCTAAAGTAAGTCACAGTTAGAGGAAGCCTATTTGATCAATGGGACTTATGGGGAAATTGAATCTCCAAATCCCCATTGATTCAAATGGGCCTACTATAGTGTACAGTGGTGCCTCACATTACAATGTTATCTCCAAATCCCCATTGATTCACATGGGCTTACTATAGTGTACAGAGGTGCATCACATTACGATGTTAATTCGTTCCAGCGAAATCTCTGTAGAATGAAAGCATCGTAAAATTTAAAAGCCCATAGAAATGCATTAAAACCCGATTAATGCGTTCCTATGGGCTTGAAACTCACCATCCAGCGAAGATCCTCCATAGGGCAGCCATTTTCGCTGCCCGTGCAGCGAGGAATCCGTCCCCGAAAACAGCGGGCGGTGGTCATTTGAAAAAAACAATCAGCTGTAGGAAAATCGTTGTTTTCCGAGAATCGGTTCCCAAAGCAGGGAAGCTGTAGGAATATCGTTGTTTTGCGAGAATCGGTTCCCAAAGCAGGGAACCGATCATCGCAAAGCGAAATTACTCCATAGGAAACATCATTTTGTGATTGTAAAAGCAATCGCAAAAAGTTCATCGTTATGCAAGTTCGTTGTTTTATGAAACGATCGTAAAGCGAGCCACCACTGTAGTTTACTGTTAAGTTCGCCTTATATCTTCTTTCTATTGGTATTCCTTTTTGGTGATGTATCAATTTTAAACCGCCCAGAGTACTGTTAAGTTGTCCTTATGTCTTCCTTCCATTGGTCTTCCTTTTTGCTGATGTATCAATTTTAAACCGCCCAGAGTAGACACGTTCTAGATGGGCAGTATAGAAATCTAATAAAACAAACAAACAAACAAACAAATAAATAATTTTTATGGCATGTGAGTGGATACCCAACCTTGATGCCAGGAATTTCCCTGACTGACCATGGAGAATACATGTGTTGTTGTTTTTTTGGGGGGGGAGGAATGTGTCTAATCAGCCTTCTCTATTTTTTTTTCTAGTAAAATGGTTCAGGTTGGGCCATGTGAGTGGATACCCAACCTTGATGCCTGGAATTTCCCTGGCTGGCCATGGAGAATACATGGGTGTTTTTTTTTGGGGGGGGGAGAATTTGTCTAATCAGCCTTCTCTATTTTTTTTCTAGTAAAATGGTTCAGGTTGGTCATGTTATAAGAAAAGACACAAACCACATGCTGATGTGACTACTGATGAATGTCAGGAAGTATTAGGCATGACATGTTAATTTGATATGAACTTCAAATGAGAAGTCACACACCCACAGCGCACACAGACACATGTCCCATACTACACATCATGCATTTGTTTGCATGGTAGGACAGGTTAGACCTCAGCTTGCGCAGATACAGACACTGACACAAGAAAAGCAGTCAACTTTGTTTCTGATTTATTTATTTGAATGTCATTCATTTTATGTACAGTTTACCCCCATTTTTAAATATGTATTGTTAAAACTAATTGCAATTAAAGGATGAAGGAAAACAATGATGTTAATAGGTACAATGTTATGAAAATTACACAGATGGACAAAATTCCTGTCATCCTTATTGCAGCAATATAAGTCAGACTCTGACCATTCTCAATGGACCTGGACAGTGTGCCAGTTTCTACTATTTATGAAAATATTCCTTATACTCCTTTTTTAAAAGCCATTGAGTATTCTTCTAGCTAGAAGATATGTATATTTATTTCTCAATCAACAAACTGGTTATAGGTTATATATTATCTTTCTTCCCTCATCCTATTAAAAAGAGGATGTAATAGGTACCTGAAGCCTGAAAATTTAGAGAATGCCTTCTAAATGTGTAACAGACACTGATTTACTGTGCTAAGGAGTCTAACCTCTCTAGAGAAGTTTTTGGAGGTTCAGCAGGGAATTGAAATGGCAAGATCTTTTAAAATCTGGTTTTCAGTTTTCAAATAAAGTTTTGAAAATTTCTATATTCTACTTTCAAATTTTATTGGTTTAATTATTTGTCAATTTAAAATATTTTTATATACTGCCTTGAGTCCCTAATGATGATGTTAATATATAACTAACGGCTTTCACAGCTACAGTGTTTTTAGAGTTTTGGAAAAGACGAAGAGCAGTGCTAACATATGACTGGGATCTAATAGACTGGGAAGATGAAGAGGTAAGAGTCTTAATAAACAATCCATAAAGGCAATTTGGATATCACAATGAGTTTAAATTGAAAATTGACAATTGGTATGAAGCCTTGTCTGCATTACTGGTACTTTGGGGGACTGCTAGATTAAATTTGATTTCATCAGTATGTAAGAAATTGTACATGTATATGTTAAAGCATCATCTAGTGCCAAAAATAAACTTGGCATTTGATAAGCAATTATCAATCACAGAAAGTTCATATATGTGACAATAAGTGGGACTGTAGAATTTTTCAGTGCGGTAACAAAGTGTGAGTGAATGCCATGATCGCAGGAACTTGTAAAGTTTTATTTTAAAAGACAGTATTATTATGATCATGAAGAGGTATGCTGCACTCAAATCAGTGGGACCTTCTTCCTCAAGGTGGATGGGCTGATATTGTCATAATCATATGCAGCATTTCTAATATCTAGGCCTATTTTCCCTAAAATATTTCTCCAGTTCTGATATGGATGTGGAGGTTAAGAAAAAGCTGGTGGCTTGAGTTAGGAAATACGTGCTATTTTCATGGTATCCGTAAAAGAAAAGCCTTTCATCAAGTTCATTCATTTACACATCAGAAATGGGGACTGTGACTCCCAAGGGAGTCTAACTTAAGTCACAATGGCAACTGGACTCGGACTTGACTCGTGGGTTTTGGTGAGGACTTACGACTTGACCCGCAACTCTGACCTATTTGTCCAAGTGGTGTTGTTGAGCCCCTATGGACCCACCCCTGCCCTTGCTTGGCTTCCATTCCAGGCCTGCTGTCTGCACAGGCCAATAAGGCAACGTGGTAAGAACAGGTAGGGGGGAGTGTAGAATGGAAGTCTGCCTGCTATCTCTGTACGTGCACCACCTATCAGCTGGGTGCTGCACAGTCCGAGTGTTTGGGTCCCAGTCCTGCCTCCAAAGCCTGGGGAGGGGGCAAGGCAAATGACTTGCGACTCAGACTCGAGGCTTGGGACTCAGGACTTGGAACCAAAGACCCAGACCTGGACCTGAGACTTGGACTCCAAGACTCCAACTTGGGACTTGGGCCGAGAATACTTGTGACTCAGACTCGAGACTTGGGACTCAGGACACGGAACAAAAGACTCAAACCTGGACGTGGGACTTGGACCCCAAGACTCCAACTTGGGACTTGGGCCGAAAACTCGTCAACATGCCTGGTACAAATGGAACCAGACCTGGACCTGAGACTTGGACTCCAAGACTCCAACTTGGGACTTGGGCCGAGAACTCGTCAACATGCCTGGTACAAATGGAAGCAATCAGATTGATTCTTCCTAGCCCCACCTCTGTACATTCAAAATTGCCATCTGAACAAATCTCAATCATATATGTACAATCAAATGTACAAGCTCCTCTGATGGCCTTCATTCTTCAAGATACTGATCATACATAGAATAACCAGTGTGCACATTAATGTTGCATTTGTAAAACTGTGAAGATCAAGGTTGCAACTATTGAGTGTGACATTGTGATTTGCCTCTCCTCAATGTATTCATTTGTACACAAAGAAATATTAAATTTAAATGTATTTTTCAAAATATTATTAACAGTTGGAATTTCTGAAAAGCAGGAGGAAAGCACTTACCTGCTATTGTTATTCAGGTGGTTGAGCAATTCCCTGAAATAATTTTGAAAAATCATTATCTGTGCTTTTCAGGATTAACCAAGAGCAATTTGATGTTTGAGTGTTCATTTAAAAACAATGCGTACATCAGTGAATACGGTATGTGGAGCAGATCAATGAGAAAGGAACTACACTATTAAGAATGTCCTTTTCTCACGTCAGATATCTTACACATGTCAAATCACCTTAGCAAAAACTGAAATAAGTGTTTGTAATTTCAGGAAGAGCTTCGCCCCCAGTTTGAAGCAAAATATTCCCAAGTGGAGCGGGTAAATCCAATAACAGGAAAGCCTGAACCATTTCAGCCCTTCCCTGATAAACTGAGCCGACTGATGGTGTCTGTATCAGGAATATTCTTCATGGTAAAGTCTCTGGAAGCAGTGGATATTTTGTAAAGATCCTGTGTGCTACATCATATTAGCAACATCACTTTCCTTGTTCTTGTACATGAAAACAAGAAATTGGGGTGGGGGAGAGCTTTCTCACTGCCTGCAGGATGGTAAAAGATTTTCGGTCTATATCAGTGTGTTCTCACATTTCTGAAAATGATTTGTGTGCAAATTGCACAAGTCCGTGATACCTGCTGCCTTGTTGCATGAAATTTCAAAAACAAGAAGCATCAGATGGGTTGTGTTGTTGTTGGTGTTATTTTGGTCAATCAGACTTTCCTTCTCTGCTCTTTATATATGTGTTGGACATGTGTTCCCTTTTGCTTCATAAAAGGGAAAGGCATTTCCTTTGTACTGAGGTCTTCTGCACTCGTAATGAAAACCTCAGTGAAGAAAAATGAGTTCCTTGTCTTGCTCTTGCACTAGAGGTGCATTTGTATTTCTCAACAGATTGTTTCAGTATGTCAAGAGAGCCAAGGACTGCTCAGACATTCCTATGTATGCATAGATATTATCCGAGGACAAGATATTTGCTAATCCTGCCCCTCTGTTGTATATTCCATTGTCCACCAACAAAAGCCAAGGGGCAGAACCTCCTGCATTTGTGGGGAGCCTCCTCATGAAATGGAATCTTAGAAGCACAGAAGGGCTAGCAGAATGAAATCATGCCATTCCTCCTGTGCTGATTCTTTACAATATCGGATAGGACTCCTGCTTTGTCGAGAATGAGTAATATTTGAATAGTTCTTCACAATTTATATAAGCGTAATTAATTCTTCTCAGATGCAGACTAACAGAGCAGAATGAAAGAAGAAGATAGGCAAAGTACACAAAACCCTTTTCATGCAGGCATAGCATATAGTTATGTCTGCATAAATGTGCTATGCGTTACACCCAGCAACATGGAATCACCCAATTCGATTACACAGTTGGCCGTGCATCCCTGCCATGACTAATTGCCTTGGGCACCAGCAGAAGTGCTTCATGGATAGCAGTTCTGCCTCAGTGCTATCATAGCTACCAGAAATGTAAAATCAAGTTACACAGCAAAAGCAAAGTGTGCTGCTTATATACCCCTCCCCATAGTGTTACAAGCATTCTCCGGGCAGTTTACACGTTACGTATGCAGGCTACACATTGCCCTCCCCACCCCCAGCAAGCTGGGTATTCATTTTACCAACCTCGGAAGAATAGAAAGCTGAGTCATCCTTGAGCCGGCTACCTGGGATTGAACCCGGAGTCGTGAGCAGTTTGGGCTGCAGTACAGCAGTTTAACCACTGCACCACGAGGCTCAAGATTTCCCCCATTTTTTGTGATATAAGTAATTACACAGCATGGGGTTTTTGTGCAGTTATGCAACAGGGGTTTTCCTGGTGTTTTGTGATATAAGCTGTAGACAATTTTACAAAAGAGAGAGAGAAGAAAGGGGAGGGAAAGGGAAAAGAAAAATACCAGAATCCAGTTTGATTCCACACTATTTCCATCTTGCAGTTGCATCACCTGTCTTAGATCAACAAGGGCACCACTTGCACAGGAGCAGGAGGTGAATTCCTGTAAAACCATTTTTAAAAACAGGGAACTGCTGATGCAACAAACTACTGTACTGAACAAGCTATGGAAACTAAGGGGACTCCAGCCATATATGCAAAAGGACCTTTTTGTTATTATTATTCTAGCCTAATCACACGTCTGAAATAAATGAGATGAATTTGCAATTATTTTGTTTATTTGTGATACACCCATTTTTTTCCTTTCAAATAAACCACTTCTATTTTGTGTCTCTCCAGATTTCATTAGTCCTTACTGCAGTCTTTGCAGTTGTAGTTTATCGCCTGGTGGCTATGGAACAGTTTGCCTCTTTCCAGTGGTATTTCATTAAAAAGTACTGGCAGTTTGCAACATCAGGCACTGGAGTCTGCATCAACTTTATGATCATCATGTCACTCAACGTTGTAAGCTTTTAATTCTTATTCATAATAAAGCAAGCTGTGGGGGGTGGATGGGTTATTTTTTAAAAAATACTACACTTCTCAGAATCCCCTAGCCAGTATCACCATAAACCAAAACAGTGAGTTTTGCAAGCTGTGAGTCCAAGCATACATAAAATATGTGAAAAATATATATATAGTGTTGATAAATTGGTTTGTTTTGTTTTGCTTGTAGCAACATGATGTTGGCAAAGGGGCTTTCTAATATTTCTACAATATTTGGTGCAGTTCCTGGTTTTTGTATCTTCTGAAGGGGGTTTTTCAAAATGCTTTTCTGACAAAAAAAAATTATTTACCACGATGACTGTAGGATCTGTCAAGGAATAAAGCAGAGTTGTGTGTCACAGCAGCTTGCTGCTTTGTGCTTTGGCTTATTTTCAGCACTGGAGAAAAAAGCTATTTGAACCAGTTCTGTAACTGTTTATAAATATTATTTGATGTAAAATATCTCGGTCAGGGCAGGCACAGACGAGTTCTCAGGGAAATCAAAGTTCTTACAGAGAAGTCGATCCTCCAGATAATGAATGCCACATTTAAATCTGGGTGTGCCTCTAGGTTTTATGGTAGAAGAATGGGTGTGGATCTTATTTGTGTGTGTGTGTGTGTGTGTGTGTGTGTGTGTGTGTGTGTGAGAGAGAGAGAGAGAGAGAGAGAGAGAGAGAGAGAGAGAGAGATTCTAGTACAATAAATGTTTGACCTCTAGGGAAAATGCACCATGCCGAGCATATTAAATTGATCACTCAATTTAACAGCAGATCCAGCTGTGGTTCACCAGTCTAGAAGACAATGTACACACAACAGCTTCAGTCCAACTTAGGTTAATTGCCAAACTTGGAAGCCCAGATGTTCTTGGTCTACTATGTCCATAAGCCCTAATCAGCACAGCCAGTATCCAGGTCTTCTTCGAGCCTCAGTCCAAGAACATTTGAGGCCTCACATTTTGGAACCATTGTTTTACATTGCTGAAAACAGCAAGACTCCCATAATCTATAGCTATTTCACACACAGACACCTCCTTTGTTTCAGGAGGAAATCTCCACCAATAATCAAAGAGCATATTTATAGTGCTAGGTTGTGATTTTCAAATGAAAAGTAGATGGCAGAATTTTTATTTTTGCTGAAAATGTATTGTGAAGCTATTTTTCATAAGGAAAATCTAAATCAGATATGCTACACATAACTTTTACTGGAAAATATGACTGACAGTAGAATTCCATACATGTCTGGTCATAAGTATTTCTAACTGGATGCAGTGAGATGTTCTTCCCATTCAGTTCATCCAACTTAGTCCTAAGTAAGTAGGTATACAATTGCATTCGTAGAGGACTATTCTTTATATGATTAAAAGTCCCATTGTAGAGTATAACAGGAATTACTTCTATATAATTGTGTTTAGAATACCAGCTCTGATAGACAGAACCTGTAGCTGGTCTTTACATTACAAAACCTCCATAAGGGCAGAGACTCATCTGCCTGTGTCATCTTTTTCTCACAACTCTTTTAGCTCTTGTAACAAGATTGTTTTTAATGATTGTTGTTTGTAAGCATGTTAATTTCTTATCTTTGTTTCAGGTGTATGAAAAAGTTGCTTATCTCTTAACAGATTTAGGTGAGTCATAGTTTTGTAATTCCATGCTGCTGTGATGCTCCATATGAAAATATAAATGAGATGTAGGCACTCTTTGTTCAGAAAATAAATGTGGGTTTTCCTACTTGATTCTCCCCCAAATGCCCGTGATATTAAAAGAACTCTTTAATCCCTTGTTCCCTTCTAATTACTGATTATTCTGAAATTCAGTACCTAACTGGTCATGCCAAAATTGAGGGAAAATATTCTTTTAATTCCCTCTTTCCCTGTGAATTAAGGCATCTCTGATGTATGACTGAGGTGGAAAAGGAGAGAAAGTTTTCTAATGCATTAGTGCTGCTCTTCCTCAGTTCACATAATGTATCTGAAGGCAGCAGCAAACTGGTGTTCTCAAATCCGAAACACAGGTCTTCCCATTTTAAAGTTGATTAGTTGAATAAGGGTATGGTCATGTTTTCAAGGGTGGTGATCACAATGCTCAGAGTTACTTGTTTCATGCAGGTGTTTTAAGATGGATAGATCGCCTTGTGGTCTGCCAGTTTAAGATCAGGTGGTACCAGAGGGTCAAAGCTGAGTTTTATAGAAATACACTTCTAGAAGGAGTGCTCCTTCAGGTGGGAAAAAAAATCCAGCCTGCTGCTGGAGGATAGTCAGCTGTGGGATGCCCAAAAAAATCCTATACCTCTTATTCCTCCCAAAACAAAGATGGGGATCCATACCACTCTTGGGATGTCCTTCTCAGTGGAAGAGAATGGTAGGGGGCTGTAAAATTTTTATAAGATTTCCGTTCTATTTATTAACTAGAAAATAATGAAAGGATCTGGCACATCTACTGAACTATTAGTTCAAAATCAGGCTTGGTGCAGTACTCTAGACAATAATATTATTAATTAACATAAGAATACAGTTAAAAAAAATTATGGATGTGCTGTAGAATTATGAATGCATAAATGTATTTATCCGATGCTGCCCCGAGTAAGTTATAATGTTGTAATTGTAATTCTTTTTATGATATATATCCCTTGCAGAAGGCTGGTAGGCTGAAACGTCACACATTTTATACTGAAATGAAGAGCATTATATATTTTCTACATCCTGGAACTACCATTTCCCCCTTTTAAACTATTTATTACCTAGCCAGTAAAGGTTTTAAAGGAAGGAAATATATTTAATGAGCAAAGCTGCCTGCAGCATATCTCATATTCCCATGAAGAAAATAAAGTAAACCTTAAAATGGAGGTGCCTCTGAAACCCCTTGTTCACAGTCAGTATCTTTAAAGGGTAAACTTTCTCCAGTGTTTGGTAGTTTCCAATATCATTTTATTCTTGAGGACATATAATTAGGTTAAGTTATAAATAAAAGCAAACAGATTACTTATATATGTCTCTTTAAATATTTTTCTGTGAGGAATGTGACACTTCTCCTGTTTCCTTTTAAATGGAGTGTCAGATATATAATTCAGCAGTTATCTAGACCAGGTGTCTCCAAACTTTTGACCTTGAGGGCCACACCAAATACTTTCAGGATCTTAGATTGCCGAAGGAACAGGAACGTGCGCATGCGCATATGCATGCCTGCATCCCCTGCGCCTGCACCCCCACATGCATTCAGATGAATGCATGCATGCATGCACACATGCCCCTGCACCCCCACATGCACCCCCACATGCATGCACCCATGGACCCCCACATGCACCCCCACATGCATGCACGGACACCTGATGACAGTCCTGCCTGTCTACCCCCACGCATGCATGGGGTTAAGGGAACAGGCCAGATAGGTCGGCAAGGCAGATCACATGTGGTCCGCAGGCTGTAGTTTGGATACCCCTGATCTAGATCATCACTATTTATATGTTGACTTTATCCTTATTCTGACTTTTAAGAGAGATCTATAGTATTAACTTTTCTCTCTTTTTTTCTCTCATCTTTTTTTCCCACAGAACATCCTAGAACAGACTCAGAGTGGGAAAACAGTTTTGCCTTGAAAATGTTTCTTTTCCAGTTTGTCAACTTGAACAGTTCTATTTTCTACATTGCCTTTTTCCTCGGAAGGTACGTTAATTCCAAACAAATTGATACAATAAAACACAATAAAATAGCACTATAGTTCCATAATGCATTAAATTGGCTTGTTGACGAGGAAGATACTTCTGGATTTGTTTAGTGTGTATCCTGCTTTTCCTCCCACAGATAATAAAATGAATAAAACAGACACAAGTTAGAAATATAAAGCATGTTAAAACAAGCAAGAATCAATGGGCATGAAACATAAAAAATAAACTGTATTTGATACTTCAGTGCCTAAGTATAGTAACCTTAGGCTGGTCCAGATATGACTACAAATACAATAGGAATTGTTGTCAAAAACTTCTGGAAATGCTTACATTGTGAAAAGCTGATATAGGTAAATATGTTTTTCTAAACAGAGATCCATAGGAAGGTAATAATCTGAGAACACATTTTGCAATATGTAGATTGCATTGTTTCAGTTCTGTTCAGTGCCATTTTATTCTTCTTACTGCTGGTACTCGTTGTGGCATTTTTCTTATTCTGCAGTACCTCCTATGTTGTCATCTCATCACACACAGCATTGGAACATCTCTTGACATTTAAAAAATTGGTAGTTGGTTCCCAATCTTACTTTTTCAGGTACATTTGATAGGAACTAGAGATGGGGATGAACTGCCAAAATGGTGATTTGTCTTGGTTCGTGGGTCGTCAAGGTTGACAATCCACAGACCACAAATTTGCCCCTAATGACTCAGTGAGCTAGAAATTGATTTGTTGGTTCACTGAGTCTTTTTACAATGGACTCCCCACTCCCACAGCCTGCTCCACCCCCTTTCCATTGCCACATTGCTTCCCAATCCCTACCTTATTGCGCCACCACCTCCTGCTGCATTGCTGCCTCTGCCAGAAAGGAAGCTAGGCTGCTGGAATGGCAGTCTCTGTTCCAGCAACCTAGCTTCCATTCCATAGCAAACAGCAGGGCAGGAAAGAGATTCCCTTCAGTCAGACTTGCTCTCTCTATATCAGCTGATCTGCGCAGGCGTAGACAGGCAGTGGAAGTCTGACTGAAGGGAATCCCCCCCACCCCGCTGTTTGCAATGATGGCGGGAGCCGGTTCCCTTCAGTCAGGCTTCCTCTCTCTGTCTACACCTGCATGGATCAGCTGATTAGCGCTGGCATAGGCAGAGAGATGAATGGACGAACATAAAGGGTGTATATTCGTCCCTTTATATTTGTGCGGATCTCCAGATTTCATGAATAGGAAGGGATGAATATCCAATGAATCAACAATATTCAACAAATATTGTGATTCACTTTTATATTCGTCCCCATGTCTAATAGGGACCCAAGAGAGGGTCTTCTTGGTGGCCCCCAGATTATGGAATATCATCCACCATGAGCCACACTCATTCCCTCCTGTTCTTTCAGTGACGAGTGAAAACTTATCTCTTCAGATAGGCTTTTAATATCCAGTTTTAAGAAGGTTAGATGACCTGTGCTTGGTGGTGTATATCGTTTTAAATGGCTTTTTAATGTTTTTGCTATAAAAATGTTTTTACATCTGTGGTTTGATGTTTAATAGCTTTTTAATGGTTATAGTATTATGTTTCAATTCCTGTTTGTTTTAATGATGTTCTGGACCACCCTGATTCCCTCCATGCACACATTTTTGACTTTAGCCTAAATTTAATTTAAGCAGCTTTTAGGTTTCTTAAAGAAAAAAAATGAAAGCTGTAGTTCTACGTTCATTTGAAATGTAACTTACAAGCAGAAATCTCGTTTTACAGATTTGCTGGACGTCCTGGAAAGTACAACAAACTTTTCAACAGGTGGAGATTAGAAGAGGTAAATGTCTTTTTCATACCATCATGCAAAATCACCCCAATTTAAATATTCATGTGTACTCACTTTCTTCTATTTTTGCTTTGTTCTCTGAGTTTGCCTCTTTAACGTACTATTGTATATATAATAACAAATGAGCTGTCACTATCTGATTCTTGTTTTTTTCCTTACCTCTTTGTTATACTCATATAGTATTGCAAAATTATAGCCAATTGAACTGTTTTCTAAAACAGCTTTAAAGAGATAAGTATTTATTTGAAAATATCAATATATTAACACTTCCCGTTCCAGTGTCATCCTAGTGGCTGCTTGATAGACCTTTGCCTGCAGATGGGTGTCATCATGGTCTTGAAACAAATGTGGAACAACTTTATGGAACTTGGCTATCCGTAAGTCCAATTTGTGCTATCACAATATCTTTCCATCAATTTTATAATCAGAATTAATCACCAATTAATTACCAGCATAAGAGGAATGTTCTGTTGTTTTCTATGCACAGGTCATAGAGCTACACAAAAGGCAGCATCTGTCATCTGTGTCATTTCAAAAGCTTTGCACAAAACTCTCAGTGGTAGAGGACAATCTACAGGAATTTGTTTAAAAACAAACATGACTTTCTATCTGTGCAGCCATAAATAATGGTGCAGGAATAAGAAGTCTCAAAGAACATTTACAAGTGTGTCAAGGTGACCAAAATTTTCACCAGGCTTTGTTGAAGTCCCTGCACCTATAGGGATTTCCTTCTGCAGAAGAGAAAAAGCTCTCTTGCACAGCTATGCCTGTGTAGGAAAACTACTTCAGTAACAGCAGCAAATTACTGCTTCTTTTGGTGATTTTGGGGTATGCACAGCTCACATACAATGTGATGAAGTTGCAAAAGGGGCCTTTACTTAGTGGCCATTTGCTTCTGCCCATGACCTCCAAAAGGACCTGTTATTGACAGTCCTGCTCAGATCTTGCGAACTGGAATCCATTACTTCCAGAAAGGAAGACAGTTACTGCAGCATAAAAGTTCAGGCCTTCCCCCCACCGCCCCTGCAAACAGATTTTGGCCATGCTTTAACAAAGAGAGAAAGAAAACTCCATGTGGCATCATGTGTATTCATTTAGATTCTTCTTGAAAGTGATGCCACAGATTTCATGCTCTGGATATCTCACGATAGGTTACTACAGAATTGGTGGTCACGACGGAAGATCAAGAAAGGAGGACAGTTACTGGAGCATAAAATGTCTCTACCTCAGTGGGAAAAAGATTGGAATCTACAGCCTATGAATCTCCATGGTCTCATGGATGAGTACTTAGAAATGGGTGTGTATATGTATGGAGAAGTCATATTTTTCTCTTTTAATTTAAATTTGTTTCCTATCATAAAGTTTCATTCTTTTCATTAATTTAAATTTGTTTCCTATCATTATTACTACTTATTACTTTACCTTTATTGGCATAAAAAGCGCATACAGACATACAAAGGGTACAAAGTACAACTTGTGGGGATGTTTCCTATCATAAAGTTTCATTCTTTTCCTCCCTCTCTTTTCTAGTTGTGCCTTCCTCCCTTTCTAATCATGTGCATTTTCTTTCCAGTTTTACAGTTTGGCTTTACTACAATCTTTGTCGCTGCTTTTCCACTAGCACCTCTGCTGGCATTACTGAACAATATCATAGAAATCAGGCTTGATGCTTATAAATTTGTTACACAGTGGAGGCGGCCAATGCCAGCAAGAGCAACAGATATAGGTGAGACAGTGTGCAGTCCATGTAGAAATTCTCTCTGTGTGTGTGTGCATGTGCACTATTATTTGTGTATCAAAGTTGCAAGCACTAGGATATGTAGACTTCTTAACCAAATTAAATTGCAATTGAAAGTGCAACTTCTCTATAGATAATAGGTAAATCCAGTTTCTGGCCAGAAATGTGTAAAATATGTGAAACTTGCTTTGGTTAATTGCAGCTACAGTGGACCCTCTACTTACGGAATTAATCCGTATTGGAGTGGTGGCTGCAAGTCGAAAAGTCTGTAAGTCGAATCTCCATTGACCTACAATGCATTGAAAACCGATTAATCCCATAACTGGCAGTTTTTATTCTATTTTTGTTCCATTATGGTTTTTTTCTGGTCTGTAAGTCGATTCTCTGGCTGCAAATCAAATCTAAATTTTGCAGCCAGAGAAGTCTGTAACTCGAAAAGTCTGTAAGTCGAACCGTCTGTAAGTCGAGGGTCCACTGTAAGTGTTGAGCTGCAGGGGTGCATCTTGGTTACATTCCTGATTACATGCCTTATTGTGGAACTAAGATACTATGCCCTGGCACCTTGTGAATTAGTTGCAATTAGCTACTGCAACATGCACAAAACATTTGCAAATTCCAAGGGGATTATTTTTTATTGAAAACCAGTTTGTTAAAATCAAGTATAAAAAGTAAAATAGTTCAGTTCAGAAGTGAGTTAGTTTAAATTAATAGATGGATTTAGTCTTCATACATTGATAAATACTGTATAGGAAACACTATTTACTGCAGTTGTTACAGCTATTTATGTATATGTATGGGAGTTCACTCAGTTCAATACAGTGGGGTCTCTACTTAAGAACTTAATCCGTATTGGAAGGTGGTTCTCAAGTGGAAAAGTTCTTATGTAGAATCTGCATTTCCCATAGGAATGCATTGAAAACCATTTAATCCGTATCTGCTCTTTTCCGTCCATAGAAACTAATGGGAAGCTGCTATTCCACCTTCTGCCACTAGAGGGGGATATTTTTTCTTTTTTTTTCTTAGGTCAGGGAACAGTGTTAAAAGCACTTCTGACGAAGCTAATTTTGAAGCAATGGACTGAAAACCAATTAATCCGTTCTGGCTGTTTTTTTGTTATGTAGAGGTGCGTTCGTACATTGAAGCATTAGTTCCCATAGGAACTAATGCAAAGCTGGTTAATACGTACTCTACCACTAGGGGGAGAATTTTTTTTAACCTAAGATGACCTAACGTTAAAAAAAGAGCAGGAAAGGTTTTTTTTCCTGTTCTTATCTAGGATTTCTGTTCTCAAGTAGAAGCAAAATTTAGCAAACGGAGCTGTTCTTAAGTAGAATTGTTCTTAAGTAGGGACGTTCTTAAGTAGAGACCCCACTGTACTGCCTAGCTATGTATGTGTACAGTGGTGCCTTGACTTACGAACATCTTGACTTGGAACCATTTCGCGTTATGACTAACTGGCCGCAAAATTTTGTTTGATTTGCAACAGGAGCTTTGAATTACGACTGGAAAAAAGGCAGGGAAAAAGGCAGGAAATTTAAACTGCTAACGGTTTAAATTCCTCAGTGAAGAGGCTGCTTCTTTGTAGCTCTTTCACCCAAGCAGTTAGAGAGTGTGTGTTTGGAGGAGGCTTCAGACTGCCTGGTACAGCTTTCTGCCTTTTAAAATGCCTGTTCTGAGTGAGTACAGATTTTGCAGCGTGTGTTTGGGCTGGGTGGGATTATGTTTCTGTGCTGTGATGGGTCTTGCAATCTTTGTTTGTGTTTAGGTGGGTTTTCTTTTCGACCAGGACTGATCAATTGTGTTTTCGATGGGTCTTGCAGTCTTTGCGTTTCAGTGATTTTTTTTCCCCATCTGGAAAGGATCAATTACGTTTCCGATGGGTCTTGCAGTCTTTGTTTGCTTTTTGGAGGTTTTTTGTTTGTTTCTTTTCTGGAACAGATCAATCACATTTCTGATGGGTCTTGCAGTCTTTGCTTTTCGTTGGGTTTTTTTCGGCCAGTACTGAGCAATCGTGTTTCCGATGGGTCTTGCAGTCTTTGGTTGCCTTTTGATGTTTGGTTTTTTCTGGCCGGAACAGATCAATTGCATTTCTGATGGGTCTTGCAGTCTTTGTTTTCTTTTTGGTGTTTTTTTTTCAGCCAGAATGGACCAATTGCGTTTCCGATGGGTCTTGCAGTCTTTGTTTGCTTTTTGGTGTTGTTGTGTGTTTTTTCAGCCGGAATGGATCAATCACGTTTCCAATGGGTCTTGCAGTCTTTGTTTGATTTTCGGTGTTGTTGTGTGTTTTTCTGGCCAGAACGGGTCAATCGCGTTTCTGATGGGTCTTGCCGTGTTTTTTGTTTTTCGGTGGGTTTTTTTCCCAGCCGGAATGGATTAATGGGGTTTCAATGTATTCCTATGGGAAATGGTCCTTTGAGTTACAACCAACTTGAGTTACGACCATCTTCTGGAACCAATTAAGTTCATAACTCAAGGTACCACTGTACTTGAAAGTTAGCTTCCTTAAATAAAATGGGACTTTTGCAGAAAAATGCATACAACTGTGCCGCAGTTTAGACATCCTGGATAAAATCAATGCTGATTAATAATTTGTCACCTCTTTTTGTTTAAAAACAACTTATCCATATATTGCTTAGGCATAGGGATGTGCCTGTTTGTTTGCTTTTGTTTTCAATTGTGTCTTATACTTAGTTCATTGATATGATGGCTTTAAATCACTTGGGCACTTTCCCTACTAATTGGTACAAAATTGACTTCTACCTAAACACATCCGCAGGGGTCCTGCATTATACTTTGTCTAAGAAACGTTTTACTTACAGTTCATGGATTTATGTGGGTCTTATAGACTGGTAAATAAATGGGGTTAAACATATGCCCTTAGATCGCTCTCCTATCCCAGTAGGGAAGAACGGTAAGATAGGAAATGGGTAAAAGAATGAGATCTGAGAATACAACAATGCACAGTGGTGATGCATCTGATCTTTGACACCTGGAAAACCTATTTTGTAGGACCACAACTCCAGGAGTCTTTCAGCCAGAAGGCACAGTGGGAATTAAACTCCCAGCTTCTGGCTCCTCAGATACCTAAACCACTGAGCTATCCAGCAGTTCAACATTTCTAATCTTCACTCATCTCTCACCTTTACCTACTACCTGGTGCTGAGTGTGAATCACAAAATCCGAGCAGACTTCCACTTATGTAATGGAATCTCTCTGCTTCCCATAATTCTCTGGGACAGATTTAAGGAGTGTTCCAAGTAGCACAGGCTCTGTTCTATCAACAGTGTCCATTCTGCTTCTGGTTAAGTCCCAAAGCCTTAAACTACCACTCATAGGGCAGGAATGTTGGGAAACATCAGCATTAGTTCTGTTATGAATTGAACAAAAAGCTTTATGGGATGTACACCTAAAATTTGATAAAATGGGCAGCTTTATGGGGTTTGTTGGTTTCATCTTTTATCTTGTTATAACTGTTCTCTCCTAGGTATCTGGTATGGAATTCTTGAAGGCATAGGAGTCCTAGCTGTCATCACCAATGCTTTTGTTATCGCCATTACATCTGACTATATCCCACGTTTTGTTTATGCATACAAATATGGCCCTTGTGTCGATCAAGGATACAGACAGGAGAAGTAATCATGCCTTTTCTTCATTACTATTTAGTGTGTGTACTAACTTAAAAAAATTAAGAGCAGTGTGTCTAAGTTTTTTTTTCATTGTCTGCTGTTGTTGATAGTGATGGATTACTTGAGAGGTTTTTGTTATGTTTTCTGCCTTTTTATATTTGATGTTGCATTCTGTACATTTTTAAAAAAATATTAAACAGGTTACACTGACCCAGAATTGATGATACAGAAGCTTTGACACTGAGCATAACATAAAACATGTGTGATCCATTAATTTCATTCCAAAGCTGCCTGTCATCTAGCAGCACTCCTGTCATGGTTACCCCAGTGATTCTCCTTGACATGGTGGCCCTTCAAGAATAAGGTTATTTGTCTTCAGTTCTCTGAAATTCTTTCATAACATAAAAATATAAAAAGTGTGTATTTGGACCCCATGCTCAAATACTTTTCCATGCCTCCAATGCCTGAATACTTTTACAACAGCATTATCATTCCCACCATACAACACTGAAGCTATGAAAAGATAGCTAAAGAAAGTTAAATTGTTACGTCAGTAAAGCATTTTAAGCGTTGACCATGTGGTAAAATTGTTTAATATTTGTCAAGATGCTTCATCACAGTTATTGTTACAACTTCTCCAATTTCAATTGACAGTATGTTTCCTTCTTTGATTTTGCAGTTACACATTTAATAGGTGGGTATGAAGGGTTGACTGCTTAACACAGAGAGCTGTTACATTGCACTGTTTTTTCCTCATTATCCATAGCTGTTTTTTGACCCTCCTTCATAGCCAATCTCCTTGAGGCCTCGTTCCTTGCAATGTCCCTTCAGTTTATCACAGTGGGAGGAATAAAAAGATGTGCTTCAGACCTAAGTTCCAGTCAATGACCTTATCAAATGATGTTAATATATTTCGACCCAGTCCTTGTTTGATTAATAAATTGCAAGCCATCAAGTCAATTCTGATTCATGGCAATTCTTTGCCGTGTTTTCTAGGTGGAGAATATTCAGAAGTGGTTTACCATTCTCTTCTTCTGAGGGTCTCCTGGGATTGTGCAGCTAGCTCAAACCCACATAGCTCTTCCCTTAGACAGCGCAGTGGTTAATCAAACTGCCAATATCATACCTAAACTATTGAGTTATCCAGCCAGCCTTGTTTTATTAATGCTCCTTTTTTGTGTGCGAAATGAGAATGAGATTGATCAATTGATTGACTTCTTTCCCACTACACAAACAATTAACCATTGAGTTAACAATTAATCCCTGCAGAGAATTCCTTGTTTTTAAAACAGTGGCTCATGTTTTTTCCTCACAAAGTTAATTAAAATATTACCCGAGAAAGCATCTTGTTGACACTCTTTATTTCTCCAGTGTACAGAGTCATGCAGTGCTACATCTGCCCCAGAGAACACTGCTATATGACAATGAGGTTCTCTAGTGTGCCCTTCCATAATTGTTTAGCAGCATTTGCAGTTCCTTCATTAAGGCACCAACACACAGCCAGTCAGATTTGCCCATCTTCCAGTCTCACAAACCCAGACCAGAGAGGCTGCTTCAGCCTTCACAGAGCAGGGAGGTAAATTTCACCGTCTCTCCCTGAGAAACCAAGAGATTTGTTGTTCTTGTTTTCCTCCTGAAAAAAAAAACTTCAGAAGAAAACTTGCAAGATATTTCAGATGCTTGATGGTCATTTTTTTTCTCCTGAAGAAACACCAAGCTCTGCAGAATGATTATAATTTCTGCATAGAATGTATTTGTGTTCCTGCACAGGTTTGCCTAGAAGGAGCATTGAGCTGTGCAGATTCTGACAGTTTCTTGCACAAAAGAACAGGTGAAAAATGGAAGAGAAAAAGAGGAAATAGGAGGCCTGGACACTCATTTTCGTGGGAAGCCAGGAACTCTCATAGATGCAGTGGGAAGTCTTGATGAGGAATCTCAGTATGGTGAGACATGAAAATAGCTGGGAGTGATAAATTTGTAGTATTCCTTACATGCCTCTCAAGAAGCAGATCAGGCCTTCCTCAATAGTGATTATAGTTTTCAAGGAACTGGAGTTCATGCAGACAGATTTGTTTCTGCCATGAAGGCTTCTTCAGACCTAGAGTTTCCTAGGCCATAGTTTCCTAGGCCACACGCTAGCAAGGTTATGCTCAAAATCCTACAAGGTAGGCTTCAGCAATATGTGGACTGAGAACTCCCAGAAATACAAGCGGGATTCCGAAGGGGCAGAGGAACTCGAGACCAAATTGCTAACATGCGCTGGATTATGGAGAAATCCAGAGAGTTCCAGAAAAACATCTACTTCTGCTTCATTGATTATGCAAAAGCCTTTGACTGTGTGGACCATAGCAAACTATGGCAAGTCCTTAAAGAAATGGGCATGCCTGACCACCTTATCCATCTCCTGAGAAAGCTATATGTGGGACAGGAAGCAACAGTTAGAACTGGATATGGAACAACTGATTGGTTCAAAATTGAGAAAGGAGTACGACAAGGCTGTATATTGTCCCCCGGCTTATTAAATTTATATGCAGAATACATCATGCGGAAGGCTGGACTGGAGGAATCCCAAGCCGGAATTAAGATTGCCGGAAGAAATATCAACAACCTCCGATATGCAGATGATACCACTCTGATGGCAGAAAGTGAGGAGGAACTAAAGAACCTTGTAATGAGGGTGAAAGAGGAGAGTGCAAAAAACGGTCTTAAACTCAACATCAAAAAAACTAAGATCATGGCCACTGGTCCCATCACGTCCTGGCAAATAGAAGGGGAAGATATGGAGGCAGTGACAGATTTTACCTTCTTGGGCTCCATAATCACTGCAGATGGAGACAGCAGCCACGAAGTTAAAAGACGCCTGCTTCTTGGAAGGAAAGCGATGACAAACCTTGACAGCATCCTAAAAAGCAGAGACATCACCTTGCCAACAAAAGTCCGAATAGTCAAAGCTATGGTTTTTCCTGTCGTGATGTATGGAAGTGAGAGCTGGACCATAAAGAAAGCTGACCGCCGAAGAATTGATGCCTTTGAATTGTGGTGCTGGAGGAGGCTCTTGAGAGTCCCCTGGACTGCAAGGAGAACAAACCTATCAATTCTAAAGGAAATCAACCCTGAGTGCTCACTGGAAGGACAGATCCTGAAGCTGAGGCTCCAGTACTTTGGCCATCTCATGAGAAGGGAAGACTCCCTGGAAAAGACCTTAAGGTTGGGAAAGTGTGAAGGCAAGAGGAGACGGGGACGACAGAGGATGAGATGGTTGGACAGTGTCACCGAAGCAACCAACATGAATCTGACCCAACTCCGGGAGGCAGTGGAAGATAGGAGGGCCTGGCGTGCTTTGGTCCAAGAGTCGGACATGACTAAACAACTAAATGAATGAAGGCCATAGTAGCTATTGTTAAGAGCTTTAGAACACTATAGAACTATAAGACTTAGAGCATTCCTAGCACAGCCTGACATGAAAAAAGCCAAAGAGATAAAAATGGAAAACTCCCATGAAATTCAGCAACTCCATGACAGGTTATGATAACAGCATTTATGTGTGATTCTGAGTTAAGGTGAAACTTTCTGGTGACACAAAATACTCAGAAGTGATTTACTAGTGCCTTTTTCTGTTGGCCCTCTGGAACTTGACAGCTTGTCCAAGGCAATACAAATTCCAGGTAATCTTGACTGACCTCCACTCCCAGACAACACTACTGGGATTCGAATCCACAGCCCCTGGCCAGGTGTTCCAACAACTATACCAGCTTTCTGATAGGCTGTGCCTTAGCAGAACAGAAACTGCCTGACACACCTTTGGTGTTTTAATCCAGTGTGTGGCAGACACAACATACTTAATTTATCTATGGCTGCACATGTCATGCTCCTTCCAGGACAGGTACTCCATGTGCATGTACCAAACATGTCTAATTGAGGTGGGGGGTGTAATTCCTTTCCATCTTCTGCTACTGTCCATGCTAATATTCATTGTTAATGAGGTCCTCATGTGCAGTAACGTGCATGCAGCCCAGCATTGTGCTTGAAAACCCAGTTTCTCAGAATTCAGTGTATAAATATTACTTTTCCTTTTGTCATCAATATGCGGTTTTCGAAAGGGGTTTTGGCTCCATTCAGTTTGCCTCTATGCCAAAGTTGAATGTGCAGTATGGAGCCATTAACTATGCTATAGATATGAGCATAGTCTTATATACACACATATATATAGTGCTTGGGAAAGTTCCTCAATTCCCAGAATCCCTCTCTACAGAACTTGTAGTCCAGAGAGTAAATTTACCATGCTCTGTACATGCACATCCTTTGTAACAAAAAGCTGTACAGTGGTGCCTCGCTTTACGATTGCCCCGCATTATGACGAATCCGCTTTATGATGATCTTTTTGCGATCGCAAAACGATGGTCTAAATGGGGGAATTTCGCTTTGCGATGATTGGTTCCCTGCTTCAGGAACCGATTCTTCGCAAAACGATGATTTTTCAACAGCTGATCGGTAGTTTCAAAATGGCCACCGGGAAAATAAAATGGCTCCCCGCTGTGTTTAGGGACGGATTCCTCGCTATACAGGCAGCGAAAATGGCCGCCATATGGAGGATCTTCTCTGGACAGTGAGTTTTAAGCCCATTAGAACACATTGAAAGGTTTTCGATGCGTTTCAATGGGCTTTTTATTTTCGCTTTACAATGTTTTCGCTTAACGGCGATTTTCCTGGAACGGATTATCGTCGTTAAGCGAGGCACCACTGTATGGGCTTCTTGCAGCACAAATCCTGCTAGCCTCTATGAAAAGTGGACATATCCCTACCATCTCCTGAAAATATGAAAGGCATGACGTAACAGCTGTGGGCACTACCAATGGCAACAATGGTGAATGAGGCATGCTTTGCATGCACAACCTATAACAGAGTCTCTGCTGGAAGATATTTACTGGGCTTTCTTTTTCTAGATGTTTGAAAGGTTATGTCAACAGTAGCTTATCGATATTTGACCTGAGTGAGCTTGGCATGGGATATTCAGGATACTGCAGGTATGTGTTATAAAAATGAATTGGTTTGTAAAGAGATGATTCTGACTGAAGAAGCTTGATGAAATTGTTGGACACTTTTAATTGCTTTTTAATATCTTTGATTAATAGAAGTTTTAACCTGAACCATGCAGACCTGAGGCACATGCATCAGGTTTGTGGTTAAGGTGATGGAAGTGTCCTACTGCACTTCCTTTGCCGAATTTTTGATCAAATTTTTCTTGTTATTCACATTATTTAAATGTGTTTCTTTGTTTATTTAAAATGTTTATATTCCAGATCTTTAAGGCCTGATAATATGTGCAAGAACAAAAATAAAAGCTGTGTGCTCAGAAATGTTTCCAACCTGGTTCTTTTACTGTATTACTTGAAATCAGAGAAACCAGATAGTTTTTGTATTACAAAGCTGGAGATAATTTTAGATGTTGAATTGTCTTTTACCTTTAGGAATTCTAATTTATAAAATGAATTAAATTCATTCATTTTAAATGCATGATCACAAACAGGCATATATCCTGCCCATCTTTCATTCCATTTTGGTGGATTTCCAAGTAACTGTTTCCATCGTTTCCTAAAGAAGACAACTTTTCTTATTATTAGGGCATCTGCAACACTACCATTTACCAAATGTTTTTCTCTTCCTCTATTACAGGTACAGAGATTACAGAGCACCACCATGGAGTTCAACTCCTTATGAGTTCACATTGCAATTCTGGCATGTTCTAGCTGCTCGATTGGCTTTCATCATAGTATTTGAGGTTAGTTGACTGAGAATAGAAAATGGAGAGCTATTTATGTAGTTCTAATGAATGTCTCAGCCTGTTTTTTAGGACTTAAGGCTCCTTTAGGAAACCTACAATATGAAATTTGGAAGCCTATGTTAATTGTCTGGCTCAGATCTACTCATTGTAACAGTGCAGCTGGACAAGAACTGGAGTGTTTTTGGGAAATGACTGCGCTCTCCTCTATGATTTAGGCTGAAAATCCAGGCGACTGTATCTTCTACCAATAATTCCACAGTAAAATCTCCTGTCTTCCATCCAGTTACTCTTATGCACATCACCATAAGATAACATAGTAAGGACTTAATATCTATTTACAGATAAAATATATGCTCTTTTTATATGTATTTACAACTTAAAGAAGCATATGTTATTGTGCAGCAGAGCAAAATCAACATTCTACAAAGCAATTCCAACAAAAGTACTGTATAACTTTGAAACTGGACTTTAAATCAGCTTGTGCTCACTAGCATTCACAAAGTGACACCAAGAAAGGGAAAATCCCAGAAGCTGACTTCTTTTATCATCAGTTAACCAATTCTCACCCAAAAAAATTATCAGGACTGCTTTTCGACAAGTGTAACCAGTAGTGAGCACAAGAGGGCATCCTGCAGACCATCTTGATTGCTGCTATTGATGTTGTCAACATTCAGGCTATGCAAACAGATATGACACATCTTAATAAGGAAGTACACATACTCTATTCTCTCACTACTGGCATTGGGAGGGGCTTTGAACAATGTAATTTACAGGGTTCTTCATCACTTGTAGGTGCCTTCACAAATCTATCCCACCTAATACCTGTTTGTTAACCTTACACTACAGTATGTGTCTACAGCTTGAAACAGACATTTTGAAATCTGTGACAACATTAATAATAAAGTATAAATAGCATCCAGTGTGATGTAATGGATAGAGTAATACACTAGGAATTGGGAGGTGGGGTGGAACTAGTAAAACCACTCTTTAAATACCTCACTGACTTTGAAAGTCCTATCGGGGGTCACTATAAGTTAATTTTGATTTGATGGCACGTAACAATAATAAGTAGTCAATGAGCATGAGCTTCCAAAGGACTTTACTTTAGAAATTTTGTTACTTTGTTTTTTTATGTTACTTGTAAACTGCCCAGAATGGCCTTGGCTGCCCTATGGGTGGTATACAAATCAAATAAATAAATCCAAGCCATATTAGTATAAGCGTTTTAAAATATGTGTGTTCTATCTTCTTCTTTTTTTCTAGCACCTTGTTTTTGGAATAAAATCTTTCATTGCCTACCTTATCCCGGACATGCCCAAAGACTTGTGTGACAGAATGAGAAGGGAGAAATACTTAGTTCAGGAAATGATGTATGAGGCAGAACTGGAGCATTTGCAACGAGAACGGAAAAAGAACGGGAAACAGTATCACCATGAATGGCCTTAGTTGGATATGAAACTCTGACATCAGAACTCAAAACTTCTGGTGCAAACAGAAGATGGAATTAAGACAAGAGGCAAAGGAATCATGTGTGTATATGCTGCTGCTGGGAAAGATGATTACCCAGTCTTGCCATCAACTGGAAAAGCCGTGCAGCCAACAAGCAAGATAAGCAGATATATTCCACCAATGGTCTTTGCTAAAGAGGAATGAAAGCTGGCTCAACGGAAATCTCTCCATTATCTAAATTTACTGGGCGACATTCTAGCAACTAATTGGGAAACTCATTCGTGGCATAACTGAAAACAAAAGCCCATCATTTGTGAAACTTCCATAATAAGGGCATGACTTTTAAAATTAAATATATATACACACATATATATATGATCTGCTTCTTCACAACTTCTACAGCTTTGGATTGCTCAAAAAAATTGTACTGCCTCTAAAAAAAATGTCAAGCAAAATTAATTGTTGCCCTTTGTGGCCATAACTTGATGCTATTGCAGTCCTTGAGGCTTCCAGTTTTGTCAGGTTTGTCCGAGTCTCTTGCTGAGATTGTGGATGTGGCTCTGCCCTTTAAAAGGGATATTGGCCTGTTCGGTATTTACTATGCAGTTTGATGTTTGCACATCACTTTTTTGTCTGTTTGTCTTTATAATCCAATTAAGGAAATATATTGTTTCTCTCAAACTGAAGCAAAACTATTTTGTAGAAAGACCGTATAAGCCAGGATCCAGAGAGCTCTATGATACAACGAACCCAAGCTTCTGCATGTGGGACTATGATTTTTTAGAGACTGGAAAAATTAATTAATTTATTTTTTTGGATTATTACAGTACTCAGATTCATCCAGCCAGCTGGGGGATTCTGGGAGTTCTAGTCCAAAAAAAAAAGAAGAAGGATTTTCCAAAGTTTATCTCCCACAATAGTCCTTCAAGAGGAAAATTGCATAGTACCCTGAGAGCCTCATTTCAATGTGGCTGTTTCCTGTCTGGATTTTCCACAATGCTTAGGGCCGGTGCTCCTGCGCATAGAACTGCATGAGTGGCATATTTTCCCACTGCTGCTTGCAGCTCTTTGGATATTGGCTTATATCTTTGCACTGCCCTTCACTCAGCACTCTACATGGGGGAATTTGGCATTTTCCATTGCTCTTGATATTCAATGTGCAAATAAAGGCCAGTGCCTCATACTTCTGATGTGAATAGTCCGAACCATGCTCTGATGTAGCATGCCGAAATATAAACTCTGTGGATATTCTCTTTCTGATTGAGCTACTTGGATTTTGTATATTTCACACACACTAACTGTCAACTTGAAATGTCTTTTTAATGGCAAATAAGCAAATACCTTATGCAAGCTCCTGCTTCTGCAGAATATGAACTATGACATCAAAACTTGTTTGTTCCAAGTTCAGAGACAGCAAAATAGATCTTTATCTGGAATGACATTTCACCCTATAAAATCCAAGCACCGTGATAGGTGTGTGTGTGTGTGTGTGCACGTGCACAAACACACACACAAATACACACACACACAAATATACACACATTATTCAATTGTATTCCCTAGTTGTATACCTTGTTTGGTTTTTTTTTTTGCCTAAAGCTCTCCCAGAAACACAACACATACACACATTATTCAGTTATTCCCCACTTGTATACCTTGTTATTTTTTTTTTTTGCCTAAAGCTCTCCCAGAAGAGTAAACATTATTGCATTGACTTGTGCTTTGATACCCATATGTTTGCAGCACAGAATATCACATAGCACAAGAATGGACAATTTCTTTGGGTTGCCCCCCCCCCAAAAATCCTTCAGGGATCTGCCCTGAAACAGCTGGTGCTGCTGGAATCTGCCATGAAAGGCAACACTTTTATGGTGTAGGCAGCTGTCAACTCTCCTGCAACACAACTCATGGAGATCCATATGAGAAATGTCAGGGTGTGTGCTAACAACAATTGCCAGAGTCCCATAGCCACTGTGGCCAGTGGCCATGTTGCGTGATGGATTCTGGGAACTGCACTGTGTAAAATGCCTTTCTTTGTCTTCCTGTCTCTGATGAGACCATGGAAGAGAACATCATACAGGATTCCATCACAGAATGAATAGAAAATGGACGCCTGTTTAGGCTTGTCCATCTTGCTGGAGTGGCTATCATTTCAGCAAAGGAAAACTAGAGATGCAAACAAGGGTCCGATGGTTGTGTGTGGCCTTCTGCAGCCTGCTTGTTGCCCACTCACACCTTAACAATGTAAAAAACACAATTATTCTAATAGTGATCTGTTAACTACAGCTCTTTTTTGCTATTTCTTTTCTCAAAATGGGGAAGACATGAAGCACTAATCTTCAAACAAGTGTGCAGGATTCACTTGTACGCGGGAGACCACAATATTTCTGGTTTTCCTTTTGTAACATTTTCAGGTGTAGAAATCTTTCTTATTTAATATTAACCAAAGTAAATTTAGAACATGTTTGTCACATTGTTATATTAAAAAGCACAGCAATTGTATCAAAGATTTGTGTTAGCCTTAGGATGAGATTATCATTTTAAAATGGATTAGAGAGATGGTATTGTAAGGGAGACAATGAACATTAAAAGGGAATTGAATTTTCTTTCATTCGGAACCACTGAGGGATCAAATTATGAATATGCTTGTATCCTAACTCTGTGAGATATTTTTTCTTACTGTTTCTGTCATATGATTAATGTTTTATATGATGACAATCTACTTTATAATATCATAATTCCCTTTTATACAAATATATATATAGGTCCCCCAATCCAGTGGCTGCTTGAACAGTTAGAAGCCCTACAGGACCTCCAAATGTCACCCTCCAAGTATGTTTCCCCACATACTTCAATGAAGGGAGAAACATTACATGCGCCTTTATTCTTGAGTATTTTACCCCTCAACTGAAGTAAATAAAAGCATCTGCTTTGCATATAAACACTGTAGGTGGATTGGGGTATAGACTTTAAAGCACCTTTGTGTGTGCGCTGTAGAACGTTGCTTTTATTACCTTTGTTCTGCTGTTGTCAAGTTTTACTTAAATGCTCATAGCCTTGGCTGGATCCAAGCTTTAGAACCGATGTAGTTTGCCAATAGGTAGGAATGTTCACTATAACTCTGTGCTTCCTTTTACTTGTCACCATTTGATCATACATAAAAACAATTCTGTTGATTACTTAGCAGAGCAGTCCTTCCAATTGATTGCTTAACAAGGCAATCTATACTCAGAACTAAACCTGGTAAATGTGTATAAGATTGCTAAGGCTGAAATGCATTAGGATCATTGTATCCATGGAATGTTTTCACTTATCCATGGTCTGAAAATATTAAAAATATTAAAAGAAAAATTCCAGAAATATGTATTTTTATGATGTCATTACCAGAACTGTCTACTAGAGGGAGCCAGAGACCATGCTATGTATAGTATTTGCTATTATCTGTGGGTTTCAGCATCCAAGGTGGGGGGGGGCTTAGAACTGATCCCCTTGCGGATGGTTGGGTCCTATTGTAATAAACATATGTATTAGAATGTAAATCCTATTGAATTTAGAAAGGCTTTCTTGTGAAAAAAATGCTTACAATTGCACTATTAAGCTGAAGAATAAAAATGAAACACTGTAATCCATTAAGATTGCAATCCTGTAAACATTTATCAGACAGAAAGTCCAACAAAGTCACCAAGACATATTTCTGCACTGCAAACTGTAAATCTGTAAAATAATTTTTTTTAACCCAGGGCACAATTTTGAAGTCACTTGTTCTGGAAAACGTAGTGGCTTCAATTCCACTGCTTCTATTATTTCTCTCTCTACACTTGGAAAGCACACAAAATTGGTCAAAAGAAAAAAATATTATCGTCTGTGCCCCTTTTTAAAAGTATATAAATTTACATTGATCATATCTGACAGTTTGCTGATGCACAGCTATTTGCTTTAGCTGAGAGAAATGCTATGCTAGGTTTGGTTTACTGTGGTTGCATTGAATGCAGATTATCATACAAAGACTTATGGCACACTTTGTTCTCAGGAAATATGTATTACATGAATGCTGGTTAAATATATTTTATTTTGTTGGTATTTCTAAACGCTTATCTTTCCAAACAAATTGCCAATATTAGTGGTATGTGCATGCAAGCTGCATTTGTGGATTCTCCAAAGCTGCAGAGCTTCAGAACTAGCATTCAGGCAAAAAGAAAAAAAATGCTTCAGATCATTGTGGATCTAGTCTCCAATAACTTTGGTCTATGCATGTTCTTTCAAAGAGACTGCATGAGCAGCTACTGTTATTTCAGAATAAAACAGTTAGTTACTAGTCCAGAATGTCTTAACTATTACCAACTCAAATTGGTGTCTTGATGCAAAAGGAACCCTTGCTCTGGAAATAAACATTTGTTTACTACTTGCTATTCTTATTTTTTATCGTCTTTAATGGTTGGGTCTGCTGCATGATGCTAGGTGGGAAGAGGGGGAGAATGGTGTGAGTTTATAAAAGAAATACAAGATAGAAATATACTTCTTCTTGCCCTAGCCTTTATAGGAAATATTCTCTGAAAATTATATATTCATTCCTGGGAAATCCAGGAAGAGTTTATGAAATCTAAATGATCTCTCATTTGCAGCAGGCCTTGTGGGAGGGGTCTGGATATTAGGGGGAAAACATGTACAGCAATGGCAGAAATAACATCTCTACAGTCAACCCAAATCTGAAGAACCTCTATCGGAAGGATGGCGTACTGACTGCTTTGAGCAAGAGTAGCGATTCCCCAACCTATGGGACATGTTCCCCCTGTGGAGGGGGTGGGCATATCAGAATTTCAGGGTAAAGGTTATTTCGTGTAAAGAAAAAAAATACACAATTCTAATCTGAAAAATGGGGAAACATTTTGCCTATTCCTTTCTTAGTATGCACCTAATTAAATAAGGTTATTTTAAAATTGGCCAAGGATTTGATTTCTTTTCCGTTATGATATTTCAACTTTAAAATAAAATTAATGAGGAGGGCATTGAAGGGGCATGGGGCTTTTCTGATTCTCAAGAGGTTGCATGGGTTAATGTGAAAGAAACATGGAACTCAACAGCTTAAAAGTCTGGTCAGTGGCCCAGCTTGCATGTAATGGGATGTGAAGGTGCAACTTTTTGTAGATATACAGGGTTTTCCAAGTTTGAAGCTCTGGATTGCGATCCAAACAGAGTATGGAAGCAGCCAGAGTTGCTTTTTCAAAAATCCTACTGACTCACTGCTTGAAGTCAAGGGGACAAATCCAGCTTTGCCTTAGCATCCAAACACCAAACAGCTGGGGCTGGGGAGGTCCCTACGTGCAAGAGAGTTACAGAGACGCAGGCAGAAGAACTGAGGTTCAATATTTCAGTTCTGTTGATCTCTTCCAGCAGAAGCAACAACACATCATATAGCACCACAAAAAACCAAGAGGTTTTATTTTTTTTTTATTAACTTTCAATATGAATTCCAGTAGTTAAAAACTGAGATGGGAGATGGCTTTTTAAAAGAGATACACTAGCTTAGGAAGGAAAACCACATGCACGCTGTTCATATACATAGGGGGTTCATTTGGCCACAGGATTGCAGGCATCCCTGCATATAGCCTCAAAATGGTTTAAGCCATCTGGCGATTTCAAGCATACCCAATCTATTTTTTGCACAGTCCTTCGTCAGAAATGAATCAAAGATATCCGATTGCTTGTTGTAAAATATCATTGTAAACCACCTTTGTTTTTGTTTTTAAAACTTTTTTTTCACAAAATCATGATTTTAAAAAATCATTTTGCTAAGATAGTTCTCCACATTATACAAAAATATGTCAGCAACCACATACATGGCCTAAAACACAACAAGTAAGAAACATGTTCTGTTTCAGTAAGATTTACTTTTAAGTCAGGATGTAAGGATTTGTGAGGGAGAAACATTGTGTTGCTTTTGTTTCAGGTTCTTTCAAGTGTATGCATACAGGTCCTTTTGATAAACCTGCAAGGGCCAGAATCTTTCAGGTTCTTTCATTCTGTTGTTTCCTTTTGGGTTTCGAGTACTAGAGCAAATGAAGAACTACAGAACCCTCAAAAACATTCCCAAAAACCCACAACCCCCCCCCCCCCGAAGCCAGGTAACAGATAATCATCTACTCCTAAAGAAGGCAACAATAGCAGTTCATGAGAAATAATCAATCATCCATAGGCCCATGCAGACACTAACAGTACATTAAAGCATATGTATCATCACATCACCATCATTATCCCCATCAGTTTATCAGCAGGAAACAGTACAGATGAAAAAAAGAAATCATAACCATGATCACAATCAAAGTGAAACAGAGAGAGAGAGGAACTCTCAGTAAAGGTAATGTAAATACTATTTCCGACTCAAGATCCATAAATAGGGGGGATTAGGGAACCAGCTCTCACCCCCCACCACGTTGATGGATTCAGTCCAGTAGCACAGGCTGTGTTGCACCAAGTGAAGGGCAGGTAGCCAGGCCCGCCAAGCTACAATAAAGGAAATGGGAGGAGGGGTTCCCTTCAAAAATCAATAAAATAAAAGACAAAAACAAAACAAAACAAAAAAACAGAGAGGGGCATCAAAGTAATCAAGAAAGTAATTCAAAAGTGGAGGAACACCAGCAAGATTTTTAAAAGGTGTAATCTGCAATAGTGGAACAGCAGTAGCTATAATAGTAGCAGGCCAGGAAGGGAAAAATCCAGTCCAAAATGGAGGTCAGAGGAGCTCTCTCAACAGCAAGAGAGAACAAGTTACCAGGCAGCTAAAGAGCAGCCACTCCACATTTCCCACAAGATTATATAACCTGAATCTGAAAAGCAATGTACAGTATGTTAATTTGCAATAATAATACAGTACATTAGAGCAATATTTCATAATAATATTACTGAGGAGCATTTAAATGCTGCAAACTGCCCTTGTTGATTTGATTATCATGGTAAAAGGACATTTTAAAACATGTATTATGGGCATATATCATGTAGTTTTTCAATAGTAAAGGTTTAAAGAAGCAAAGTTTAAGGAATAACTTCTAATTTTTTTTCTAGTTACAAGTTGAAGTTTTATAAGAAAAAATGGTGGAAAAGTTGACAGGTGGGTGGAGCGGGGAATGTTTCAGTATAACTGATAAGACCAGGTAGAAAATGTTAAATACATCATTTCTGGTGTACTTCATGGTTTCCATTTTTTAGTTTTACTATGACCCTGTCTCTGACCAAATGGTTATCCTTAATTTTTAATATTACAGAAAAGTAATGAAAAGTACCAGTGAAGATTTTTTTTTCCCATGGAAAATGTTTGACCAACTTCAAAAAGAGATTGTAGCTATTCTTTTTTAAGATGCTCTTTATCACATTTTACATGTACAACTGCAAATTATTTACTGTGCCACTCACACCTGAAGATTGCATTTGCAATAATAAACTTTTCTACCCCTAAATTAGATCGTTTTGAATCACTTTTCTACAGCCCCCAAAGCGATGTAAAACAAAATATAAAAATGCATTGGGAACCGAATACCCTTTTAAAACAATGCATAGGAATTCTAAAAGTCAACATGTATAAACTGCCTTTCAGACTCTCAGCAAAGAGCAGACACCACCCCTCTTCCTGGGGCAGGAAGTTCAATCATTAGGCTGTTAATAAAAGAAGAAGAAAAGTGTGCTGTGTGCTTGCCTAACTACTTTTTGGATCGGTTAGCTTCTCCATCTTGGGCCAGATTCCGTCCCATTAGTGACAAGTAGAGAACCTTCAAGTGGTGATTCTTATTCTAAGCCAGTGGGCCTTGTGCTCCATGGAAGAGGACATCTACCATTCCCATCACTACAAAATCCATACACGCACATCCCTGCTGAAGGGGAAACACAGGAAAATGAGCAGAACTTGCTCTAAGGAGAACACTTTCATAGCAAGTTTTATCTCAAGGCATACCACATCAGTAATCTCTGGACTTTATTGTAATTGCTCATAACACTGTTAAAAAATAAAATAATCTGTTGTACTGTTTTGATATTGTTCTGCGCAGGGGAATCATTGGATGGATAGTAGAATAGCATAAAATCTCAAAACTTCAGCCAAAATCCTCTTAGTCAGATCTGCCAGTGTAACATCATTGACGTAAAACTCAGTGGCAAAATGGTGCAAGTTGACAAGTCAGAGTAGGAACTTGCTGTGGTGTCTACTCCGACTTCTTAATTTTCTGCTAAGATCTACACCGATTGCATTATGTTGGCATAAAAACAGCATTTCAAAATGCCATGTCAAAATGCCTCTAAAATTTAAGAAAATGCATTCTAAAAGTAACTGGAAAAATTAACAAGAAAACAGCCATTATTTCTACAGAAAAAATGATGTCCCGTTTGTTAACATTGCTTCTGAGATGTAACTTTGAAACAGGTTTATTGCAAAAAGGTTAATTGCAAGGGATACCTATATTTTGTGTAACTAGTTTCTTCTGATTTCTGGTCTTTGAATTCTTTCCCTGTAGAGAAATGAGCTCCCTAAATAAAAATAGCATTCTCTTATGTTATACATAAAAAAATCTTCCTTTACTAATACGACTGCCAGCAGTTTATTATTTTTCTCGTTGTTAGAGTAAAGCTATGTCATTCCTGTGGCTAACAGAACACTGTTTCTTCTGGATAGGCTAAAAATAAGATTCTGTTTCCATGTTTGGATTACTGTAGGATTTGTCGTGTGGGTTATAACCAGGAACATGGCTCTGAACGGCTTTATTCCATCCATTCTTGAGGTCATCGTTTGCAACTGCCTTTTTCTGAAGGTCTTTCAGCTGATCACTTTTCAATGCCTCCTAAAAAATTAAGCAGCAAAGGAAAATAAAACCTAATCAGTTGAGGAACCAGCTGCTCTCGGTGCCTGCTGCTCTCAGTGCCTGCTGCCATGGTCTGAAATGAGTAAATGCTCTTTCTCTAAGCTGAGAGCCTTGGATTACTTACTAGCCTTTATCTGGCATTAATAAAAGAAAAATATCAATTAATATGTTGGAGTTCTGTCATAAAAGTGCTAAAGAAAGGAAATAAATCAACGTTATCAAACCAAACATTAGCTTGCAGTCATTATTAGTTTTTACTTTTATCTCAACAGGAAAGATATGAATAATATCTAATCAACTTCACACTCTATTTAACTCTGCACATTATATGTATAGAGACTCACTCTGGATGGTCACGGGCCAATTTTCTTTCCCCTAAACACACTGTGGGCCACAACGAACACTTCATACAAAACAAGGGTTTACCTTTTGAGGAAGATTGAGGGCTCAGGGTTTACACTTAATTTAAAATATTTGACTACAGTGACAAATGCCTTAGTTACATCCTGTTTGGATTGCTGCAACACATTCTACATGGAGCTGCCTTTGAAGACAGTTCAGAAACTTCAGCTGTTTCAAACTACTACAGCCAGACTATTGACTGGGACCAGTTACAGGGACCCTGTTACAACAGCTTCACCAGCTCCTGACTGGTTTCAAAGTGCTGGTTATGACCGATGAAGCCCTATACAGTGTGCACCAGGCTATCTAACAGATTATATATCCCTATATAGTATAACACGCCTCAAGCCTTAAGGTCTTCTGGAAAACCCTCTTCTAAGTTCTGTCACCTTTACAGGTATGTTCAGCACATATCAAAGAGAGGGCCTTGTTAGTTGCTGCCCATTGTTTATGCAATGCTCTGTCCAGTGAAGCAAGGCTTAACCTTTCTCTCCTGTCCTTTCAGTGACAAGTAAAAAACCTTTCTCATCAGGCTTTTAATATCCAGTTTTAACACAGTTATCTCCCCTATGCTTGACAGGGGATAAAATAAAATAACATTGCTGCTCCTAGAGGCTTTCAGGAATAACAATTCTCCATCTACTCCCCTCCAAAAATAATCTCTGGGGGAGTGGCCTATAAAGGGTAGGCACCAGATGGTCTAAGGAGCCTCTGATGATATCAAGTTTCAAAATATCTTCAGAGTTTGCAAAATTTATCTTTCAGGAGTTAACCCACGTGGGGGCTGGGGGATTCAAGGAGTTGCTTTCCAAAAAGTTATTTTTTTCCAAGCAGAAAGTAGTCAGACTAATCTATAAAAATGCACACTAATTTGCATCTTAGGTCTTAGTTTGAAGACCAGCAATGTTGATGTGTCATATAAAGAAAGTCTTACTTGAAGTGCTTTACTGTTATCTTGATCCACTCCACACCAGCAAAAGGATTTACATTTATGAGACCAGAAGCAAAATATGTTGCAGACTGGGCGAATTAACTTTGCTTCAGTGTCTTCTCCTTTATTTGGACCTAGAGGGAACAAAGCGTGAGTTAACTTACAAAAGATCTATCTTTCTAATCTTATAGCAATGACACTTGAAAAAAGTATTTCTTGCTACTATTCTATAATGGCTCCCCTATGCTGAAAATAAATAGATTCTATTTCTCACCCATCCACTCTAGCACAACCTGAAGCTTTAATCTGTTCCCCCCCCCCTTTCCACCAGTCTTATCCATCTGTTACCTTTAGCAGTTACTATTTGGTAAATGGAATTATTGCTGATTTCCACACATGATTAATACAATCTTAGCAGGAAATAGAAGATTTGATGCATGTTGTTTAGCTACTGCCATCCTGACAGTTCTTAACCATATAATTCAATAATACCATCAAATTTATCAAAATTCAAACAATGTATTTGAAATGTGAGTTTTGTGATGATACTGTTCCTCCACACCATGAACAGACAAAACAAGTTTGCTTGACTCTATGGAACTTTTCCAACATTCAAATTGGTTAATGATGAAATTGTAATAAACATGACAAGAGCCAGTTACCGGGGCAGATCAACCTATATTGTGTTTTTCTCGGGGAGAAAAGTAAATTTTAAAATGTGGTTTGAAGAATTTGCATGACTGCTACTTCTTGAGCAGAGACGTCATTGCTAATCCATGCACAAAATACGTCCTCATATCTTCTTATCTACTCATATGAAGATGTCCATAGGCTTCCCCTCTTTTGTCCTAGGATCAACGAGTTAAAGGGCCCTTGGAGGTCATCTATAATGCCAAATACAACTATGGAACTCCCCACAGATGGTGACTGAACTTCTCTTTTAATACCTCTAAGCTAGAGCTTCGACATAAGGATCAAATCTTTTTGGAATTTTAGACATACATAAGAATCTTATATGCTAACATCAGAGCTAACTGTGGCTAACTGACAAAATGGCTGGCATATAGTGCCACACTCAGGTGTGGACCTGGTATGGATGTGACATCTCATCAGTTAGCCGTAGCAATTGAGATAATTCCTCTTGTGTGCACTTCAGATCACAGCATTGCTTTGGCTACTGAGGTACCAGCCATATAGTAATGAGTAATTAGAGTATATTACTTCTCAAAAGTTTTAGTGAATTACTTTTAAATAGTAACTGTCCCAACCATGTTTCCAGTGAAAGAGAACCCACCACTTTCCCAACCAATTTGTTCCACTACTGAATGTTCTTCCACTCCTTCACTGAACTTGGGTTTCTTGCCATTTCTACTATTTGGTTCTGATCTCTGTTACAGTTTGCTCCAGCTTTTTGGGGGTAGCCTTTCAGGGATTTAAAAACTGTGATAATCCCTCCCATACTCTTTCCACCTTGAGGCTAAATATCCCCGGCCCTTAAACTGTTTCTCACACTCCTAGTTTTCCTCACAATCCTGGTGGGCCTATCCCCAGACATGTTCTTAAATTATGGGGCCAAAATACATATCTTGAAAGCATTGCCTCATTTCTAGCCATCTCTTATTCAATTCAGGCGTGTCTATTCTTGCCACAGAATGGTGGTGGGATTTGATGCCTCATGTCTTCAGTGACAGGTGAATCACCCTTCACTCAATAGTAAACTCATCAGCAATACATAAAGTTCACTTCATAGGTGACAATACAGCTATAAAACAAAGTTGTGCTCAAGAATATCATAATGAACCAACCTGTTACGAAACTGATCAGAAGCCCTGCAATGATGCATCCAAGACATCCAACAGCACTGTAATAAAGGTATGATAAAGAATACCAAGTATCTGCCAGGTAAGGTCTAGAATGATACAAAGAAGGAACATCAATAATTATTACTAATGTATTTATAAACTTCTTGACCAAAAGGGAGGTTGGTTAGTTTATAAAGCCTAGTATCAAACAGATGACCAAACTACATATCAACTTAACAGGGACTTTAAGGCTGGTACTGACAAGTGATAACTGGTTCAGTTGGAAAAAAAGAAGCAGCCATCCTGCAATGTTATACAATTTAAAGGTGGATGGAAAGAAATAGTACCTGGCAGGAGGAAGAGTAGGAACCACAGTAGCCACCACCTCTGTGTTATTGGAAATACACCCAGCTGTTGAGAGGTGCAATGGATGGGACTTTGAAGATGGGGCAGGATACACAAAAGCTCCAATACCAACCCAAAACGCCAAGGTGATTCCAGTAAGAAGACCGCCAACGGCACCCTTAAACCGATAAAAAGTGAGAAACTATATTATGTGCTCTAGGCACAAGATAGATACAACAACAGTACAAGATACCAAGTGGATTGTTGACATCTGAAGGGTACTATTTTCGTGGTAGCTTCATAACTCCACAGCATGTCTTTCCAATGCTCAACCATAGACAATTAACTCTTGCCAACTGTCTACTTAGTAACACAAACTGTTTGAAGAGCAACAAAATGATGACAAGATTATCATGTTCCACCCAACAGGATAAAGAGTAGATGATTTGCTAAGCAGACGACGACGACGGCGATGACTGCTACTATTAATAAAAATAATAAGCAAAGCCTATCATATATGAATTGCTCTATTTTGAAGATACGAATCTTATTACGTACCTTCCAATTGGTACAAGGAAAAACAATTCCTAGTGTAAATAATCCCAGCAGAGGTCCCCCACACATTCCATGAATGCTAAGCGAGGCCTATTCAAAGGAAGGACAGAAGATCCTTTAGCAAGCACATTACTGTCATCCAGTGTCTCTCCACATCTTTCTTCTCTTATATAATAGCTTTTTCAGCTGCTTAACACAGAGAACACATCGTTCTCATTTCTGGTTAGTCTACTTGTCAGATTTGTTTAAAAAGACAATCATTTCTCAAGGTAGCATTGTAAAATATCTCTCATCCATGAATACTAGCCACAGAAACAGCACTTTGGTACACTAGCACATAGTGCAATAGCAAAATATTTGCTGAAGCAGTATCTTATTACTTAAGGAGAGAGAGAAAGAAGAAGAGGAGGAGGAGGAGGAGGAGGAAAACAGAAAATGGAAGGCATTGCTGAATGATGGTCACATAAAAGGTGGGGTCAGGAGCGGGAATGGGGAGGAGGCATCAATAATCAAAAGGGGGACAAATAGGAGCAATGTGAAGAGCTATCCTTCTTACAGCAGAAGAAACATCTCCCATGTGAATGGAAGGATCATTCAAATGTGAATTAAAATAGACTAGATGACACCAAGAACCTTTTAAGTGCAAACCAGATCACTCCAACTTCCCCTCTCTGGTCTGATCATGCCCCTAAATGTTGTTTTAGAGATTACAAGTACTATATGAATACTATAGATATACAATATAATAACAATTTATAAACAATAACTAAAATAAGAACAAAAGGGTGGTGCCTTCAAAAGGAAGGTTTTATTCATATGCCTTTTGCATGGAATTCAATCAATTAGGTAGTAAACATTATATTATCAGGCAGTTAATGTTTCTTAAATAGAGTAAATGTCCAAACAGCCTGTTCATGAGAGATAGAGAGTAAGAGAAGAAGACTTTTAATCCTCTCACAGTCCAGAAAACACAACAGAGAAAAGCAGTCATTTGCTCAGGAGAGACCAGTTTCTCGCACAGTGAAGCTGCTTCAGAATGAAGGCTTCTGCAGTGCAAAAAGATTCTTGAATTGCACATATCTGCAAGGATCCAATTTTATTTCTATACATTCTGAACAAATGTAGATGGGGGAAAGATCAGAACTAAATACAGGGTTGTTTAACAAAACAGATAGTGTGATCATTCCTCCTTATTATACTTTATAAGGGAAAGAAAACTTGATGCAAGAAAGAAAATGAGCAGGCGCCTCTCTTAGCAACAGCCTGAAGGCTTTCTAGTACTTTCACAGTGAGAGAAACTTTGCCTACACAAGAGACTTCCTCCGCACTATTGAAGCTCAAACATCCGTTCTCAGAGAACAGAATATAAATACCCTGCACAGGCCAAGAGCTCCAGGTTATGCCAAATGTTTTAAAATCTGTGGTTACCTGCACCACAGCACCCATGAGCGATGCTGCTACAGCCATTGAAGTACATACCACTCCAAAAACTATGCCTGAAAAAGAGGATGGTGAACAATTAATGCCTGGGTGAAAATGAGTGGTCTTTCTACTGACAGAAATGGTTTGGTCCATGGAACCGGAAGGGGTGGTTCCTCTTTCTCTAGAAGCTTCCTAGGTAAAAGGTAAAGGTTCCCCTTGACAATTTTTGTCCAGTCGTGTCTGACTCTAAGGGGCGGCGCTCATCCCGCTCTTCAAGCCATAGAGCCAGCGTTTGTCCGAAGACAATCTTTCCGTGGTCACATGGCCAGTGTGATTTAGACACGGAACACTGTTTACCTTCCCACCGAGGTGGTCCCTATTTATCTACTCGCATTTGCATGCTTTCGAACCGCTAGGTTGGCGGGAGCTGGGACAAGCAACGGGCGTTCACTCCGTCGCGTGGATTCGAACTTACAACTGCTGGTCTTCAGAAGGGGTGGTTCCTCTTTCTCTAGAAGCGTCCTGCACCTCCTTAAAATCTTTTCAAGAATGTTGAGGGGACATCATGGTGACAGGAAAAAAAGGTGTCTTTTTACATGAGGAGACTTGTCTATGATATGAATAGAATACCTCTCAGGATGCTCTAGCCAGAAAGCACTTATCACCAATTCCTCATTGTACCTGCCAGCCACATTCCCCATGCTGTTCTTAAGGATCTTGCAACTCTTCAGAGTATATTTTCCAGGGGCAGAGTGGACTACAGGGGAAACAGGAATCAAGGATAACCACTTCTTCCACGGTCTCACCATGAAATAAGCTCTTTCATTTCAACAGGGAAATTTTGGATCTGAACCAATTATTCTGAATTTGTATTAGGAAATCTGATCAGTGTGCTTTTGCTGATCCTATAAAGGCATGCGTAACAATCCTGTGCCACATACCACACATGCCACTTAGAAAGGATGCAACGCATTGACTGAAATCCTTTTACTTAGTATAGTAAGTTGCAACTAGAGTGGGTCCATTGAATCAGTGGGGATTTGATGAGTCAGCTCTTCTGTAAGTTCCACTGATCTAGTGAGCCTCCTCTAGTTCTAAGTTACTACACTAAGCAACTGAATCTGAGCCATTGTTTACTTAAGTCAGTAGTGAAGTAATTCTTTCTATGGTGTAACTCAAAATAGTAGGTAGAATGAACACATGGTTACAGGTACTTCAGCATTTTAGGATTCATTGTTCCTGAACCATGGTGAATAAAATCAATTGAAGGCAAAAGGGAATTTAAAGAACAAATGTCCACTAAACTCCAGTACCATACGGTGGTATCAAGAGCCTTACGGTACAGACCTAGATGTACCTTAGACTAGAGCATTCAATTATCAATGTGGCTTAACTCTAAGCACTATCTTGTAAACTAATTGGCCAACATAGAATTGCCCTGTTAGTTTACAAGATATTGCCAAGATATTGGAACAATGCTTATGGATAATTGTAAGGTGCTCAAAAGGTGGCATGATTTGTACTTTCTTCAAATTTGAAAAAAATGTTTCTGTATTAATGGAAGTCCTGCTTTGCTAAACAGTTCTATGTGAGAGATTCCTGGCCTTACCATTAAGAAGAATGAAATCTATTTGCTCTACCTACACAAGCCTTTGCTGATCCAAGTGCTTATACGTTCGGAGAGATTTGGGAAGCAGTTCTTGACAAAATCTTCTGATGTTACAGTTGCCAGAGCATTTATACTTGCAGCCACAGTACTGCAAAAGCAAACAATACACAATGTGAGGACTCATCTTTGTTACAAATGGGCTGCACTGTTTATTAACAATCTGGGTTCCAACTCACATATGCCTGCTGAGTTTGGGCTAAACTAGGAAGTAACTCATGTTAATGATTAGTTACTTTTCTAACAAGCTCCATTCTGCAATAACAAGCTAGAAAAGATTCCCTTCTTTGCTTGTTAAGAGCCACCGCTGTAATTTTTTTCAGTAGAATGAGAAGGGGCATCTGTCTGTTACTTCTTGCTAGGGTGTGGGTAGGAGTGCCTGAACAATGAGATGGCAGAAAGAGCAGTCATGGGTGGTTCATTTTCTACTCCTGTCTCCAACTGTCTTTCTGGAGGAGGTGGCGTTGTCGTAGGAAGATGGAAACTAAAGAGGGAGAAAAGCAGCAGTGGGCAGAGAGACTGCAAAGAGAAAGAATAGGATGGGGACAAAGGCAAGGTAGTGAGAGAAAGAGAGAGCAAGATCAAAGGAGATAGTGTGCCTGGGTGAGAGAGTGCAAACAGGCAATTATACATGTGTGAAAGAGACTGCCATTTTCTCTACCCTTACCTTTGAAAGCTTTGCCTGCACCGAAAAGAATGAGACCCACTCACAGGACCACTTCCCAGAATATCTGTCTTCAGTTTGTGTTTACACAGAATTTGAAGAAATTCTGTATTTGCGTAGCCTGATCCCAATCCACATTAGACAAGAAATTAGAAATGATTCACTTTGTCAATTGCCATTGACTTGACCATAAGGTTTTCAGGGATAAGTGACCAAATGATCACAACATTTAATGTGGGATAATATTTCAGAAGGAGTAAGAGGCCTGAGAGCCAGGGATGGGTTTGAAGACATCCTGGGCAAGCTCTCTCCTGTCCTCCAGAAGGAAAGATAGTGGCCGGGACTGCATCCACTAAATGTTTTTCTGTTAAGCACTTTGCTGAGCATTATCACTAGGGCAAGGATTTCTATGACATGCCATATTTTTTATGCAACCTATGTTTGAGTTTATAGGTGGGTTTGAAACATTACTCATGTTTATGAGTAATCTGGTGAGAAAGGTCAGATTACTCATAAACATGTTTGAACTTGCTTATGGGTTCAAATGTAGGTTGCAAAGAAAATGTGAAATGTCACAGAAATCCTCCCCCTTATTATCACCCATCACACTTACTAGCTGCAAGACCTATGAGGTCCCCCACTCCTACCCTAATAGTTCTCTGGATTCTCTAATAGCACAGGTTATTAAAGAGTAAATGTCCAATAAATTGCAGGTTTTCCTATATAAATGCCTCTTATGTATAGGGGACAATCTGTGTGAATTTAAATGTATGGATAAAACCAATGTTTCATGGCGCTACAGTGGCTGAAATCCTGCTGCTGAGCTTTGTCAGTTGTACTACAGTAGGCCAGTTAATCAGAAGGCATTGGGTGAGTTAACTTCTCCATAAGTTTCATTGATTCAGACAGGCCTACTCTAGTGGCAATTTACTATGCTAAAGGAAGTGACAACTAGAGCAAGCCCATTTGGATCAATGGCATTTGAGGAGTTAACGCACCAAATCCCCATAGTTTCAGTGGGCTGACTCAGGTGTGACTTTGGGGTCATGGAAGCCCTGCATTTTTCCTATTACTTGAGACTTTTTTTATTACTCAGAATTAGCATTGTTCATCTTTTGTTTTCACCCTGACACCAGTGATTCTTTGAACATGAAAATAGCTGCCGGAATGATAGCTTACGACAAAAGAGATAAAACTGCAAGTTTTCTAATAGGTTGAGAAAGAGATGGGGACATTTATCTGCCAGAGCTTGATGCTGGACAGCATGCAGAGAGACAAAGCACTGCAGCATTTCATTACAGGGGCGAGGGAGGGGGGAGAGAAATGATGCAGCGTTTTCAACAGCAGTTCTTTCCTCAGCACTGTAGGTTTGCCTCTTTTACATTCAACACTGCAGGAAGCGCCAAGTAAAGCCAACCGAAGGAAGTACAGACCTGAGTGTTCCACTGAAGGCACAAGCCACAAATAGTCCTGGAAGTCCATGGGCAGACGCAAAGATGATCATAACAAAGTAGGGCATTAGCTGTTCAGGGGAGAAAGACAGTGAGGTTATGAGAGTTCCCTGAATCGATGGAAATAAAGGTTGTGGACAGTAGAGCTCTGTACCCGTTACTAGGATAGACCTCCCCAATCTATACTATTGTATAGGGTCAGCCTTTTATATACACATCAGACTGCTTCTTATACCTGGTCAGGTGCTGAAATGAAACCAGCAGTCCAAGGATCACAACTTCTAAAATGGGAATATATCACCAAGCCACAAAGAACGGCACATACCAGGATAACCCAGAGTCCAACCAAATTCAGATACAGTGCACTACAGAGAAAAAAGAAACAGAAGAAAGGAACAATTTAGGAGTAATTCAAAGAAAGTATTTTTTTTTTAGGCAGTTAAGTGCTGTTTGTTGATAAAGAACCCTCCCTGAATCTCGCTGTCAAGTCAGAGAATCTGATGCCTGAACAGCCTCCTAAGAAGAGGTGGCAACAGAACTTTATCGACCTCTAGCGAAAAAGGTCAGAAGCCTATGTTTGTCCCAAAGGGCATTTATCCCATTTAAGGGTTATTTTTAGAATGAAATCAAACTATCATTTCCAATCATATCTAGGTTCATCTGGGCATCAAGTTAAATGTTGCTTCCTTGTTACAATATTTCCAGGCAACATCCACTTCTCTAATTCTGCAAGCTTTACATGGCTTCTACAGTCTGTAAGCACACAAATATTTCAAAACATTGCAAGTCAAAATGCATTTAAAACGTTCTTACTGCTATGAGAAAACTGTAGGCACAAATGCTTAAACAAAATCCATCCTTGCAACTTATAAAAAGCTACAAGTGTGATTGCCAGTCAAAATTCTTACAACTATGAGAAACTGTGAACAAAAGTACACTCAAAAATAAAGCTTAAGTCATATAAACAACTTAAATCATGCACTAATTATGTTTCAAAATTGCAGGAGCTTGCACTCTAAAAATATAGAAGCTTATACCCTAAAAGGGAACACTGAAAAATAGAGAACACATCAGTAAACTAACAAAGTTCTTAATAGTAAGAATATATAAAGTAAAAAGCATTTCTCAGTCCTTAAGCATACTAGAATTGACTCAGAAGTTTATTCTAAGCATTAACCCAGCCAACCCAGTTTGGAAGTATGAAGGAAAATCCATGTTGTCTTCAACTATTGCCACTGTTGCTGCTACTGCTGCATGATGCAGCTCTCTGGTACAAGCATTATTGGTATCCAGTGTGTGTGGCATATAGTGTGTTGCACTGTAGTGTTGATGTGTGTGTCTTCTGCCTCCCTATATTTATATTTCAGATGTAAACATCTGACTTTTGCTGGATCTGTAAGTACAGGCTCCTGATGCACCAGCAGACATTTTTATAATAACAATTTATCTTGCTTTTACAATTCCTATAATTTCTTACCAATTATTTCAGCACACTTTCAATTTTCCCCTTTGTTTAAGTAAGAGGTAAAGGCTCCCCTTGACAACTAAGTCCAGTTGTGTCCAACTCTAGGGGCCGGTGCTCATCCCCGTTTGTAATCGAAAGAGCGGGCATTGTCCATAGACACTTTCCATGGTAATATGGCTATGGCGGAATGCTGTTAACTTCCATAATAAACTGTCAGCCACAAAATATCATTTGCAAGGCAGGGTTATCATGTAGTGTGACCTTGCTTCCAGACTCCAGCTGGAGAGCTTTCTAATTATTTTGCAATGACTTTTAGTAAACTGCTGTTCAGACTTCATTTTAAAAAATGCATTGTATATTCTCAGGGCTACTTTTTGCACCTCTTAATTATTGAAACACTCTCTACATTCAAATTTTCACATTTGGCACTACTAGATAATTATCAGCCTGTCTCAAATATTCCATTCTTAGGAAAGGTTCTGGAGCATGTGGTGGCTTCACAGCTCCAAGGGTTTTCTGATGATATATATCACCTTGATCCATTTCAATGTGGCTTGAGGTCTGACTATGAGATGGAGACTGCTTTGGTTACATTGGTGGATGATCTATGCCAAGAACAAGATGCGGCAGGAGTGTATCCCTGTTGATTCTGCTGGACCCCCCAGTGGCTTTTAGTACCAACAACCATAGTAATCTTCTGGGTAATTTCTCTGGGGTGGCAATTTGGAAGTTCCAGGCTTCCTGGAGGGGTGAGCTCAGAGGGTAGTGCAAACTCCTATTTGACACCTTGGCCATTTACCTGTGGTGTGCCTCAAGGTTATCTTCTGTTCCCCCATACTATTTTTACATTAAACTGCTGGGAGAGATTGTCTGAAGTTTTAGTACCATCAACCAAGGTTATCTTCTGTTCCCCCATACATTAAACTGCTGGGAGAGATTGTGTGACGTTTTGGGGTTTGGTGCCACCAGTATGTTGATGATACCCAACTCTATTTCTCCTTTCCATCTGATTCCAGGAATGCTGGAGGTGGCAATGGACTGGGTGAGGGCAAACAAACTGAAGGTAGTGTGCCAGCTACACCCATTCTTTGAGAAATACAATCTGGCCATGGTGATATATACCTTAGTTATATCCTATTTGGATTACTGCAATGCTCCTTAAGTGGGACTGCCTTTGGAAGATGTTCAGAAATTTCAGTGGGTCCATGATATGTACTTGATCTATGCTCCTAACTGGAGCTGCTTACAGGGAGAACATAAAATCCTTGTTACAAGAGCTTCACTGGTCCATTTCCAGGCACAATTGAAGGTACTAGTTTTAATTGTAAAAGCCCTAAATGGTTTGGTTCCAGGCTATTTGATGGACTGTATCCCTCCATACCAGCCTCCCTGGCTCTAACGTTGTTTGGGAGATCTTTCTCTTCATGTCTTTTAGGTTACATTTTTGCAACTACTTACAGTTTGGCCTGTGTTTCTGTTCTGCAAGAAATGCACCTTTGTATGGTGGACTGATTCACTCCGTAGATTCCTAGCCAGGTAAATGTCCCTCCAATGGCAATTGTCCAAAATGTGTGTCTCCTCAGGGGATCCACATCAAAGCTGCAGAAATAAGGCCCAACAAAGATAATTAATTCAGCTTCTAAGCTGGAGTTAACATTTTACACTGTCTTAGATTGTGGGATGTTTTTTAAAAGGCAGGTCTTTAACTGTTGCCAAAAGGACATGTTCTTTCTTTAGCCCCCCCCCCAATTGAGATTAGAAAGATTCACTGTTGCTCCCAATATCCAAGGAACTCCACAACTAACCTATTTATACACCAGTAACACACATTACTAGGCGTGTGATGGTTCCTATCATACCCAGCAATGCCCAGCCAGATGACCATTTTAAGCCCTTTGTAACACAGCTGAGGAACAGCCTGACCATGCTGGTAGGGGGATTTTTGGAATTGTAGTCCAAAAAAGTAGTTTTCCCAAGCTGCATTTATCATAAGCCATGTAATTTAAATACATTTGGACTGAAATCCTGTTGTGCAGTTCTGCACACACAATGGGGATGTTGTCATCAGCAGCAGCAAATCGCCATTTACTAAAGGCAAATTGCTGCTGATTGAAAGCAGTTTCGTGTTACTCATACAAAATGCAACAAAGCCACATGCACCCCAAAATTGGCAGAAGAAGGCTGTAATCGGCAGCAATTAGCTGCTGCTGCTGACATCATCACAATTCTGCACTTGAAGAGGCACCACAGGATTTTATCCATTGACATCAACATTTTCAGGATTTCATGTCTATTACTCCAGTAATTGAAAATACATCTAAATAAGGTAGATTTCTGCTTTTCCAAGACATCATGATCTGCCTCTGAACAACAAGGTGCTATTTGCTGTTCTTGTGAAAAAAAAAATCATTTTCCTGTAATAATGTCACACACACACACACACACACACACACACGTTTCCCACTTGAGAAGTAATCGATCTGAGCATAAAGTTACATTCTGCTTACTCAAATACAGCGAGGCGTGATCCATTATTGGCATTTTCCCAAATGTTCGTAAGGCCGCCATTGTTAAGAGTTCCTTGAATTAAAACTGTCAAGAATCCAATCAGCATAACAATCAGTTGAAAGGCATCTGTCCAGACAACAGCTTTTAATCCTCCCTAAGTCAAACAAAAGGAGAATTAATGTATTTGTCTTCATTTCTATTATATTACAGAAGAAGGTGCACAAAGTCAATTCCCAGCTTTTCTCTTAACAGTATCTTGTTCTGAGGAATAATGGTGACATCTTTTCAGTCTTCGTTCCACAATGAAATGACCACTGCCTGAAACAGTGAAAGAGAGTCTCTACCCATGCTTCCCCTGTAAACCGAACACTATCATGTGAAAACAGTGTTCCACTGCTTTGTGCATTTTTCTCCACTTGTTCACATTCATTGTTTTTCTAATCTGCTACTCCTATTTCTGTGGAGGGAGAGAGGGAAGGAAAAGGAAATATTGGCCAGTTGCTAACCAGGCAACTGGCCGATATTTACTCAATGCTTTTTAATGCTCTTCTGCCAATTTAATAGCCTGCTTGTGATGCATGGCTAGGCTTTCACCCTGGTTACATACTGGTCCCACATATTTATGCATGATCTGTGTGGATAGAGATGCCCATTGCTATCTATCTATTGCTATCTATTCTACTCAACCAAAGGTTAACCTAGACAATACTCCCAGCACACTTTTGGAAAAAGCACTTCTTCAAATTGTGAAAGAGATCTTGTTTTCCTCACCTGCGTGTCTTGCTTATAGCACATTTTGCATTGTGATTTGATAGTGGAAGATAAACAAGTGCTTAATTTGCAAAACTCTGATTTGGGCTTGCAAGTCTGTATACTGAAGCATGTGTTTCTGAGGAAATCTGATTGTGGGAGGGAAAACAGGTCAATTTCATTGAATACACCTTTCCCTTAATGTTTAGATCGACCATAAATAAGTCTATATGTGGAGAAGAATGTTCCCCCTTGACATTCTTACTCCAGTCGGGTCCGACTCTAGGGGGTGGTGCTCATCCCGTTTTCAAGCCATAGAGCCAGCGCTTGTCCGCAGACAGTTTCCATTATCACATGGCCAGCGTGACTAGGGAACGCCGTTTTACCTTCCTACCAAGGTGGTACCTATTTATCTACTCACATTCAAACTGCTAGGTTGGTGAGGAGCTGGGACAAAGTGACAGGAGCTCACTCCATCGCGTGGATTCGATCTTACGACTGCTGGTCTTCTGACCCTGCAGCACAGAGGCTTTTGAAACATATCCTAATTTGTCTCAGCAGCCATGCAAACCTATGTATATCTTTATTCAGATATGTGGTTCCATGTATTCATTTTGTAGCTAAATTCCAGAGAAGAATGGGTAGGATTGCAATCTCAGATTGCAGGAAAAAGCATTTGTAAAAGTTTGCAGGTTATCTTCAGGGTCTACTGAAATCATGTCTCATTTGCTTTCCTGAGCTAGAGAACTTTGTCCAGTCCTTTGGGCGTTCATAGTAATATTTTGAAACAAGGCAAGAATAGAAAACTGCCACTCACTGCACAGAAAGATACCAAAGAACGTCCTTCAAGGCTGAGCCATTAACATAAAAGTGAACACCAATTAGAGCATATTTACAAAAACATTTTGAGCTGAACTGCAATCGCATACATACCAATGTGCAGTAAAACGTACAGACAATTCCTGTTGCAAATACTGAGCCCCATAGATCAAATCCAGTCACTGTTAAAAGAAATTAAGTCAGGCATAGGTTATTTAAGGCATTTCATGTCTAAAATGAATTGTTTTGAAAAGACGATTGTCACAACTTTGACTTAGCAGTTGCTATTATCTCCATTTATATCCTGAATAACAGAAATTCAGTTTCATTGTTTCTCTGGGGAGGGGAGGAAAGGATTCTTGTAAAGTGATACAAACACAAAAACTGATCATGTAGTCCTAAAACATAATCCCAGATCTATATTAATATAATACCTCTGCTGGGTCAACAAAAATGACACAAAATGGGCAGCAAGCTTTAAAGATATCCAGATATCTTACATAACAAAGAATATGGAGGGAACACAGATATGAATTTTGGAATTTATAAAATGTGTGGACAAAATCTGCTTCAAAATGGAAATGATGTTCCTTTTAAAAGGAACACAGAAATAGCAGGTCAACAGGCTAAGAAATTTCATACTCAGAAGGCAGTGTCATTACTTTAAAAAAAGAAAGAAAAACACAGTCCTGTAAAAATGGATGAATGCACAACACATGTGTACATGTAGATTAATTTGGTGAGGAATCATATTTTGTGGAATGGCAGTGAGTTTTTTTTTTACTCTTTCATCAGAAGTCTGCTTATTTTAACATGGATGTGGAACTGGTTTATTTAAACCGATTTCCCCTATGTGAATGTTAATTTTTAAGAAGCCCTCCCACTGGCTGACTCTCATAGCCACTTGCCCCTGCTGTTGTTGTGTTAAAAGTGGGCAGGGAGAAGCCCAGCCACCAAGTAGCCTACAGGAGTCCCCTGCCACTTGCTCACTCACCAAAGCCTTCTTCCCGGAGTGGGGAGACAGATAAGGCAAGATCCAAGGATGCCACTCAAGGAGGCATCTCTTCACTGAGTTGAGCCAGCATGCAAACCCCAGAACCAGCAGCTGGAAGGCAGGCAGGCAAAGTGCTGCCACTGCCGCCCCTCTTTTCCCACCTCCAGCCAGTCAGTGTCTCCTCCTTCGCTCTATTCATGAGTACTATGTGTTGGGTTTTGGGGGGGGGCATTTGCAGTGTGTGTCAGCCACCCATCACCACCAGGTTCTCCTGTGCACATCAGCACTCACAAGATGCCACTGTGAGTGAGAAGGCTTTTCTAGCTGTTTCCTACTGCACTGCCTTCCTGTGGGTATGCACGTCAAAGGTATACAGACATACAGGCCTGCCCAGTAGCCTCTCTGAATTCCAGCCTTGAGCTGGAGAGAGAGTGCATGTGTCTGGCAAAGGTGTCCCTTCAAAAACACCAAATTAAACATCTGTCCCAAGCAAACACCACATGGCTGTCATGTGACTCGGAGACAATTTAATTCAACTTCATTTAGACCAACCCATATTTTGAACTATTGCTTTACTGAAAATGAGCCCTTAGCCTCTTCGCTGAGAACAGAAGGCCAGAAAACCAGACATGACATGGTCTTCTATTGTTGCTCTGAACTAGGCACTTAGCCAAGACCTTGAGTTATACTTCAACACACACACTTTTAGCAAAAGGAAAACTGGGCCAATAAATTACACAACCCTGGATAAAAAGGGGGGATGGACAGCTGCCAAACAGATAGCTAACGGAAGAAAATCACATTCTTTATGAGCTATTGGGTGTTCATATTTCTCCTTTACTGCTTGTGCGGTTACCCTAGGAACTGGCAAAGCTACGTAGAAACTCACCTTGATTGAGAGCCAAAGCAGGAGCATAGACTACCACTCCAGTGTAAAGAATCTGTGAAAGAGCAGAATGGGTGTTGAAAAAGGATCCCTGAATCTCAGTAAAGAAACCCCCTTTTCACTAGAAAAGACAAAAATTAAAAAAAAATAATGGGAGAAAGGACACAGGGACCTCATATTACACAATAGCCCATGGTTTTCCACATGCATAAATTGCACATTCTCTTTGGCTGGTACTGTCACAGAGAAGTAGGCTCATGAAGAAATAGAAGTGCATATTTGAACATATGCCCAAAATATCTTTCAACCTGGCTTTCTTCTCCTTTGTCTGTCACCCGGCTAATTGTTCTCAATTAGCATAAATTTACACAGCCACAGCCACTTATTTTGTCACCAGGTCAAAGGAGATCTGGGCTCAGCATCCTCTCTGGCCATTATAATGCATAGTGCTTTGTTCAGATCATCTTTATGTCCAGCCTACCTAGAGCTGTTGTAAGAAAAAGGGGGAATGAGGGACACATGAGCTGTTCTTTTTTTTCCTTGGAAAAAGACCGGGAGAACTGTGTAATAATAATGATGATAGCACTTTAAATGGCTGAGAAAAACAATAATTGATGTATAGCTGTCATTCTGACTTAGGCAGCATTCTCTAATTGCTAACTTAGAGCCAAACTATATATTATAGATATCCTGTAATTAGAGCTTATATCACGTTAGTGTTCCAGAAATCTGAATGAAACTTACGTCTGAGAAATCCAGTTTCCAAATGAAGCTGAATCTACAGATGAGTCACAAATCAGAACATGCTAATTTGCAGAATACACAAGGTAAGAATCTCCCAAAGACAATCACACACTTTCAACAGTTAAATAATTCCCTTTTCTAGTAAGGTGTTATTTGCAACATATGTCCCAGCCCTTAACAGAATGGTTAAACCAGCTGTCTCCTTGCAAATATTCTCTGTACAGTCCACTTTTTACTCAGATGGGAGCCATACCAGCCATAATGCTTTTGTTTCTTGTTTTTCATTCTCATAAGAAAATCATAAATGTCATGGTGGCTAACTGAGGCTTATTGACATGGTGTCAGTTGTGTGACTATTAGTGTTCTGGAAGCTTACCCAAATATGCAGCTGGCACCTTCTTAGCTAGTCTCAATCAGTTACCGTGACTTCCACTATATCACTCTGGCAGATGAGTAGAAACTGGGATTCTGGCCAGTGTTTAATGGGACATATTCACAAGAACACCTCTGAGCAACACATACAACCCCCCCACACACACACACCTCATTTCTGAAGCTCTCTCACCCACTCTCATTGGCACTAGAACAATATGTTGCTGATATCTCAATGAATTAGATAGCTGGCTGTGGAGCGAAAGGTTGGGAGTTTGATTCCCCATTGAGTGTCCCATGAGAAGTGCCAGCCTATTTAGCCTTGGTCAAACTGCATAGTTCCAGGGTGATCACAGAAGAAGGGAGCAGTAAACCACTTCTGAGTAAAACTCTGGAAAGGGTTGCTTTATGTCAGAATTGACCTGATGGCAGATAACTATTATTATCAAAAACAAGGGAAAATGTGCACCTGGAAGCCTGTAGGAGAGTAATTCTCCAGTAAGACAAGGTGTTGGGCCTTCTTGTGTCAATGAAGCCAGAAGTGAATTTCTGATCAGCTTTAGTTTCATTTCCCCCCTGCTCCTCACACACATCTTCAGCAAGTCAGTGGTCCATGGGAGGTGCTACAGGGCAAAAACTGACCCCTGAAGCCACCGTAGTTTACCACCTCACGCAAGCAAGTGTGTTTAAGGTTGTGACCAAAGATTTGTAAGCCATGTGGATCTTCTTTCAATGTTTTCTGGATGCCTAATTTTACTTTCAAAATTTTAAGGGAAGGCACTGGTGGAAGCAATAAAATGTTAAAAAATACTAAGAGGGATACAAGTGCTCTTATATTTCAGAAGAAATTGTGTGAAATGATACAAACAGAGCTTTGTTGTGTTGTTTAGTCAGTTAGTCGTGTCCAACTCTGCATGACCCCATGGATCAGACCACGCCAGGCCCTCCTGTCTTCCACTGCCTCCCAGAGTTGGGTCAAATTCATGTTGGTAGCTTCGGTGAAACTGTCCAACGATCTTGTCCTCTGTTGTCACCTTCTCCTCTTGCCTTTACACTTTCCTAACATCAGCATCTTTTCCAGGGCGTCTTCTCATGAGATGGCTAAAGTATTGGAGCAGGATCTATCCTTCCAGTGAGCAATCAGGCTTGATTTCCTTTAGAATGGATAGGTTTGTCCTCCTTGCAGTCCAGGGTACTCTCTCAAGAGCCTCCTCCAGCACCACAGTTCAAAAGCATCAATTCTTCGGCAGTCAGCTTTCTTTATGGTCCAGCTCTCACTTCCATACATCACTACTAGAAAAACCATTGCTTTGACTATGGAGACATTTGTCAGCAAGGTAATGTCTCTGCTTTTTATGATGCTGTCTAGGTTTGTCATCGCTTTCCTCCCAAGAAGCAGGGGTCTTTTAATTTTGTCTTTGCTGCCACCATCTGCGGTGATCATGGAGCCCAAGAAAGTAAAATCTGTCACTGCCTTTATATCTTCCCCTTCTATTTGCCAGGAGGTGAGAGGAACAGTGGC